GACTGGCGACTACGCTGGTCTAGAAATGACTGGTTTTGCGGATTTTTTGAAGAGTGAAGAAAGGTTGGTGTAATTATACAAAGCGTAACGGTTAGCATGGTTCGGTTACAGGGGATTATTTCGTATTTATGCAAGCATTATAACCGCTCAAACGTAAATGTCATTAGGGACAAAGAATCGTTTACACGCATCGAACTCCAAAGTCAAGTGTTAAGATTTTTCTAATGTTCATTTTGCCACTTTTTTTTTGTATTGTGAATCGAGAATGGTTTAACTGAACTATGGATGTATCAACTAGGTTGTTTTGGAGCCGTCTCTAACAAAGACATGAATTTAAGTGGGCGTCAAATTTGCATTTAATGTTTATCATATTTGTTACAACGTACGTGAGTCAAACGATGTTTTGTCGATTAATCAGGAATCTGCTAGCAAAAATGCATTAACTTGATCAAGATTAGGAACAAAAAATTGGTCTTTGAAAAAATATGAAATTAGATTTTGCGATTATGCTAATTACACACGTACGGAGAACGTAAAATACAATTAAAGTAGATAACCAAGAAGAAAAAATTGCCTCCCAACACTAGTAACACGCTTTAACTTCAAGTGTTTAGCGTTTTACTATCTACACTCTATTCCCGATATACGTACAAAATTTGACAACAATCGGTCCAGTAGTTTCGGAAATTACGTGTCTAATGAAAGTCGACACAGACCATATATAGACAAACGGGAACGGGAAATCACATTTCAGGTACTCTTGGGGTTATGAAACGTCGAAAAAACATGAAACTGACAAGTCGCCCGATGGACTCGATAGTACTCTTGTTTCAAAAACTGGAAACAAAAATTTTCTGAAAATATATGAAATTCTTTTTAAATACCTACATACTTTTAGAAACATACTGAAGGCTTAAAAGTAGAAAGATCTTGCAAAATTAAATTATATAAGTTAATGATAATAATAATAATAACAATAATAATAATAGTCATTAGATAATTAAATAGAAAAATCAAAAATTTTAACAATGGATAAATTGTGAAATCGAAAAACTTGAAAAACCATAAAATTGAAAAATTGGAAAAAGTGAAAAATTAAAAATCGTACTATTCAAAAGTCTAAAAATTGAAAAATCTAAATTTGAAAACTCGAAAAATTAATTAAATGAAAAATTCAAAAATCGAAAAACTGAGGAAACAAAAATAATTGATTTTTCAGTTTGAAAAACAGAAAAATCAAATACAAATTGGAAAAACGAAAAAATTGAAAAATCAAGAAATTATAAAATCCACGATCGAAGAAACGAAAAATTCAAAATTCTAGAAATTGAAATTTAAACTTGAAAACTCGAGGAATAACGTAACCAAACAATTAAGTAATTGGAAAATTAAAAATCGAAAATTATACATCATAAATCAGAGAAACGAAAATTAAAAAATTCGAAAAACTGAAAAATTCTAAAGTTAAAAGATCGAAAAATTGCAGTTCGAAAACCTAAAAAATGGAAATATTCTAACACAAGAAACTGCGAAACCGAAAAATTGAAGGAAAGAAAGATTAAAATATCCGAAAATTAATAAATCGAAAATTTAAAATTAATATTGGGGATATTTAAAAATCTTAAAATTTTGTAAATTCACCAATTGAAAATTTGAAAAATTCAAAAGTTGTAAAAAACGGAAAACTGAAAAATTGAAATTTGAAAACTCGAAAAATGGAATAATCGAAAAATGAATGAAAATGATTTCAGAAATGGAAAAATGAGGAAACGAAATTGTCATTTAGACTCAAATTTATGAGAAACGACTTTAATTTTTGCTCGTGCCATATCTTAAGTGTATTAGATTTAAAAACCAACAATTTTTTTTATATTTTACTTCTGTTTTCCAAATAAGAAATTAATAAAATTAAATCTTTACACCTTCAAAGCAATTTAAAAAAAAAAATAAGTTTTTCGGTTTCCCAATTTCTTGATAATTTAATTTTTCGTTTTTTGAAATTTTCGATTTTCTAGTTCCTCGGTTTTTAAATTCCCGATTGTTCAATTTTTCTTTTTTCAATTTTTCGATTTTTCGATTTACTTGGATTATTAATTTTTCAGTGTTTGCGATTTTTCGATGTCCTGTTTTTTCAATTTTTCTGTTCTATCCAATTTTCGATTTTACAGTTTTTCGTTTTTTCACTTTCTCGAGTTTTAATTTTTGATTATTCAATTTTTCGTGTAGGTACTGTTTCGAGTTTTAAAATTTTAATTTCAATTTTTCAAAATTCTTCAATTTTTTCGGTTTTGCAATTTTTGGATTTTTGAATTTTTATATTTTTAATTCTTCAGTTTTTCAAGTCTTCAATTTAAATACCAAAAAATTAAAACATTCTAAAATCGTAAAATTGGAGAAACGAAAATTAAAAAATTCGAGGAATTGAAAAACTCAAATAGAAAATCGAAAAATTGTATATCCAAAAATGGAAAAATTGTAGAATTAAAAAGCAAAAAATTGAAACATTGAAAAATGAAATCTGAAAAGTGAAAAAGTCTAAAAGATGGAAATATTAAAACACAAGAAAATGAAAAACAGAAAAATTGAAAGAACACAAGAATAAAATATCCGAAAACTGATAAATCAAAAAATTTCAAAAATCACGAAATTCAAAAATCCAAAAATTGAAAAATTGATGAACTGTTTAATCGAAAAATTTCAAATCTAAAACTTGAAGAAAAAGAATATTGAGAAACCAATAAACGAAAATGAAAAAATTAAGAAATCGAAAAATGGGACAAACGAAAAAATTGAAAAATCAAATTACAAATTGATGATTTGATAAACTGATGAAGAAAAAATTAAATCTAAATTTCAGAAATTAAATAAACGAAAAACTGAAAAAGCGATAAATTGCATGATAAATTTTAAAATCGAAAAATCAAGAAACTGAAAAATAAAAAATTTGAAAAACTGAAGAATAAACATTTTGAATACACACATGTATTGAAAAATCGAAAAATGACAATAAACAAAAAATTCAAAATTTTAAAAATTTAAATTTAAATTTGAAAACTCGAAGAGTAACGTAACTGAACAACTGAATAATCCGAATTGAAAAATCGAGAAACTGAAGAATTAAGAAATGAAAAATTGAGACAACGAAAGATTTAAAAATCCGAAAAATGATAAATCGATAAACTGTAAAATCGAAAACTTGAACCTAAAGAAAATTGAAAAAAAATTAACTGAAAATTAAAAAATTATAAATTGAGAATTTTAATTTCGAAAAAACGAAAAATTTCAAAAAACTAATGTTAAAAAAAATTGAAAAATTCAAAAGTTGAAAAAATCGAAAATCGAAGAAACGAAAAAATTGAAAAAAAAACTGAAAATTAGAAAAATTAAAAATTTTAAATACTGAAAAACTGAAAAAATCTAAAATGGTAAAATTAGAGAAACGAAGATTGAAAAATTCGAAGAATTGAAAAACTCAAATAAAAAATCGAAAAATTGTACATATATCCAAAAATGGAAAAATTGTACATATATTCAAAAATGGAAAAATTGAAGAATTAAGGAATGAAAAATTGTAATATTGAAAAATGAAATCTGAAAAGTGAAAAACCTAAAAGATGGAAATATTAAAACACAAGAAAGTGAAAAACGGAAAAATTGAAAGAACACAAGATTGAAATATCCGAAAACTGATAAATCAAAAAATTGAAAATCAGGAAATTCAAAAATCCAAAAATTGAAAAATTGATGAACTGTATAATCGAAAAATTTCAAATCTAAAAATTGGACAAACGAAAAAATTGAAAAATCAAATTATAAAATTGATGATTTGAAAAACTGATGAAGAAAAAATGCAACTATTGAATGATCAAAAAATTGAAGAAAAAAAATCGAAAAAATGAAATCTAAATTTCAGTAATTAAATAAACGAAAAACTGAATAAACGAAAAATTGAAAGATAAATTTTAAAATCGAAAAATCAAGAAACTGAAAAATCGAAAATTTGAAAAACTGAACATTCTGAATACACACATGTATTGAAAAATCGCAAAATGACAATAAAGAAACAAAAAATTCAAAATTCTAAAAATTTAAATTTAAATTTGAAAACTCGAAGAGCAACGTAACTGAACAACCGAATAATCCGAATTGAAAAATCGAGAAACTGAAAAACCGAAAAATTTTAAAATCGAAAATCATAAATCGAAAACCTGTAAAATAGGAAAATTAAAAAAACGGAAAAATCGCAAAAATTAAAAAAACAATAATTTATGAAAAATTGCAAATCGAAAAATGGAGAAACTGAAGAATTAAGAAATGAAAAATTGAAACAACGAAAGATTTAAAAATTCGAAAAATGATAAATCGATAAACTGTAAAATCCAAAACTTGAACCTAAAGAAAATTGAAAAAAAATTAACTGAAAATTAAAAAATGAAAAATTGAGAATTTTAATTTCGAAAAAACCAAAAATTTCAAAAAACCAAAGTTAAAAAAATTGAAAAATTTAAAAGTTGAAAAAACCAAAAATTGAAGAAACAAAAAAATTGAAAAGAAACTGAAAATTAGAAAAATTAAAAATCTAAAAATTTGAAAAATTCAAAAGTTCTAAAAACGAAAAATGGATCAAAAATGAATTCAAAAATTGGAAAACTGAAAAATTCAGAACTTGAAAATCGAGCAATTGGAAAATAAATTGCTATCAGTTCAATAATAATAATATGTGAGTTTAGTTTTATTAATTAACAAATTATTTGATATTAAAAAAAGATGAATTATAAAAATTTCAAATAAAATGTGGAAATAAAACTGAGACCTGACCTGCATCTGCTGGCAACCGGACGCAGGGTTATTATTACTATTACATATAATCTTACAGAATTTCCTAAACCATAACTATACCTGAAGAAGAAAGAAACCACATTCGAAACGTCGTTTAAAAATACATGTCTATGAAAATTTTCGACCGAGAAGAAAACTTATACATTTTTTTTTTGTTCCAGAAATAAAATGTGGCCACCCCGCCATCCCCCTCAACGCACGCGTGTCCTTAAGCTCCCCGGGCCTCAATCCCGGCACCGTGGCCTCCTACCAGTGCGACGAAGGTTATGAAACTTTCGGCAACACCGAAATCTCGTGTTCGCCTTCGGGAAAATGGATAGGCGAGTTACCTTTCTGCGGTAAGTAAACCATTTTTTCTCATTTAATTTATGTTTCCGACTTGCCTAACTTCCGTTATTGCCCGTGTCTGAAATCTACACTGTAATAATAACAAGAGAGAAAAAAAAAAAAGAAACAATTATGATCCGAGTACGATTTATCGTGTAGGAGCAGGAAACTGGAAGAGGAATATTTTAATAAATTAAATAAAGACTTGAAGAGACAAAGAACAATGCGCTGTTATCGCGATGGCTAGAAGAGCAGGTCACGAATTTTTCTTGTTGCCAGAAGTGGTCGAAAATTGGGTTTGCTTGTCGTTTCGTAACAGCTCTATTTAATGGTATGTTTTTTGTTTGTTAAGTAAGAGATAATGGCCATTAGAGAATTTGATGGACAAGGTATTGTTGTTATGTAATGGCTAGATTGGTTTGGGGAATTGTTTGTGGTTTATGGGTTCTCAGAGGTTCAGATTCGACTGACGAAGGTTGAAATGGAAGATAAATTGGACAAATAGTTTATTAGTAAATATTTATGTACATGCCAGCTTTAGTCATCTTCGTTATTTATTCCGATCATATTGTTAATGCATAAGCACCCTTTATGGTATATTATATTTAATACCTAGCCTTATATGGAAGCGATTAATGGTTGTCATTGCTTGACAATGTTAGGTCACATAATGACGAAAATATTTGTAATAGTTTTATGTCTGATTTGTTCCAATTTAACAGTACCTAAAGTAACAACTAATAAATAATAGATATAAATTTTAACTATCAGACTCCTTATAATGTTAATTTTAAAATGTTTAAAATGTCGAACTCGAATAAGATCTTTTTTTTATTCATTTGGTGTACCTCAAGGACCATATAATTGTTGGTCTGGTCCTATTTTTCTTATATATCAACGATATCAAGAGTGATGTGTAACAAAATTTCAAATTTTCCACGTCTTTTAAAGACGCAAAATATACACTTTCTGTTAAATAAGGCCACCAAAAGAACTCAAGTGGTGTAAGATCCGTGAATTTTGCAGGCCACCGAATGCAAACTACACTTAAATCTGCATTATTGTGAGCGATGGACCGGATATATTGGTACAAGAATATTCGGTGGCCTATAAAATCTCCGGATCTTACACCTCTGGACTTTTTTTGTGGCCTTATTTAAGAGAAAGTTTATTTTGAATCATTTACAAATACGGGATACTTGAAAGGTGGAAAAAAATAAATGCAGAATTTAAATAAAATATTTTTTAAAAAATGTGAAATCGAAAAACTGCAAAATTCAAAAACTGAAAAATCAAAAAAATGAAAAATCAGAAATTGAAATTAGAAAATTTGGAAAATTGAAAGATGAAAAATTTAAATATCTAAAATTTAAAAGTCGAAAAATTGTAAAATTGAAAATTGACGAAATGAGAAAATCTAAAAATAAAGAAACTAAAAAATTGAAAAATCTAGTCATCAAAAATCTAAATATTAAAACTCGGAATAATACAAATTCGTAGAGTTAAAGAAACGAAAACTCAAAAATCGAAAAGTATAAACTTAAAGTTGAAAAACTAAGAAAATGAAAAATTGAATAACCGAAAGATTAATCGAAAAATGAAAAAATTGTAAAATCGAGAACTGAAGAAACTAAAAAATGGGAAAATTAAAAAATCTAAATACTGACACGTCGAAAAATTCCAAAAATCGTAAAATTATAGTAGAAACGAAAATGTGAAAAACGGAAAAAATAAAAAATACATACAATAGAAAAATGGAAAATTTTGATTTTGAAAACTCGAAAAACTAAGCAAACGAAAAATTAAATCATCGAAAGATTGGATAATCAAAAAATTAAAAATTGAGAAAATCAAAATTGAAAATTGAAGAAACGAAAAACTGAAAAATTCAAAAATCTAAACACTGAAACGTCAAAGGAATGCAAAAATCATAAAATTAAAGAAGAAAAAATGTGAAAAATAAAAAAAATCAAATGTTGAAAAATCGAGAAATTGAAAAATTGTATTTTGAGAACTCGAACTATCGAGGACACATAGAATGGAATATGTATTTGAAACATTGTAAAATCGCAAACTTACGAAATTCAATTATCGAAAAATTGAGTTTTATAACAATTGAAAAATAGACAAATTTCAGAATCGTAAAATAAAATTACGAAAAAAAATAAATTCAAGAATCGAAAAATAAAACATTCAACTGTTGGGAAATACCTAAAAATTAAAGAGCGAAAGGTTGTAAAATTGAAAATCGAAACATTGCAAAAACTGAAGAAACGAAAAAATGGGAACAATAAAAAATCTAAATACTGAAACGTCGAAAAAATCCAAAAATCGTAAAATTATAGAAACGAAAACGTGAAAAACTAAAAAAATAAAAAATTCAAATAGTGAAAAATGGAAAAATGGAAAATTTTAATTTTGAGAACTCGAAAAATTGAGGAAAGGAAAAGTGGAATATATATTTGAAAAATTGTAAAATCGCAAAATTACAAAATTCATTAATGGAAAAATTAAAAAATCAAAAGCTGAGAAATCGAAAAACTGAACAATTAAAATTTTAAATTTTAAAATTTCAAAAATTAAAAATCGAGAAACTAAAAATTCGAAAAATTTAAAAGATGTAGAATTTGAACAGCCAAAAATGAAAAATCGAAAAGTTGTAAAATTGAACAATTGAAGAAACAAAAAATCTAAAAATCAAAAAACTGATGAATTGAAAAATTAAATAACGAAAGTTTACATATCGAAAAAGCTTGAAAATACAAAATTGTAAAGTTAATGAAACGAAAATTTCAAAAATCGAAAAATCGAAACCTAACTTTTAAAATTCGAAAAACTGAGCAAACGAAAAATTAAATAATCGAAAGATTGGAGAATCAAAAAATTAAAAATTGAAAAAATCATAACAATGCAAAGTTGAAAATTGAAGAAACGAAAAAGTGAATAATTAAAAAATCTAGACATTGAAACGTCGAAAAATTGCAAAAATCGTAAAAAAGAAAAATGTGAAAAATAAAAAAAATAAAAATCAGATTTTGAAAAATCGAAAAGTTGAAAAATTAATTTTAAAAACTATCGAGGAAACAACAAATTGTAAAATCGAAAAATTACTAAATTCAATTATCGAAAAATTGAATTATCCAACAATTGAAAAATTAAAAAGATTTCAGAATCGTAAAATTAAAATTTAGGAAAAAAATCAAGAATAAAAAAATTAAAACATTCAAAATTTGGGAAATCGAAAAAGTGAAAAATTAAAAAATCTAAAGACTGAAACGTTGAAAAAACGGAAAAAGCTTAAAATTAAAGAAATGAACAAGTGAAAAATTAAAAAAATAACAAATTCAAATGTTGAAAAATCGAAAAATTGAAAAATTTAATTTTGAAAACTCGAAAAATCGAGGGCACATAAAATCGGATAATTAAAACATTTATCTAACAATTGAAAAATTGAAAAATATCCTTTACCTTAAAAGTAAAGAAAAGAAAAAGTCAAAAATAGAAAAATTTTAAAATTCAAAAGTTGGGAAATCGAAAAAATTAAAAATCGAAAAGTTGTAAAATTGAAAATCGAAACATTGCAAAAATCGAGAACTGAAGAAACGAAAGAATGAGAAAATTAAAAAATCTAAATACTGAAACATCGAAAAAGTCCAAAAATCTTTAAATTCTGAAAGGTAAACTTGAAAAACTGAAAAAATAAAACTTCAAATGATGAAAAATAGAAAAACGAAAAATTTTAATTCTGAAAACTCGAAAAAACGAGGAAACGAAAAATCGTAAAATCGAAAAATCTGTATATCCCAAAATTACAAAATCAAAAGTTGGGAAATCGAAAAATTGAAAAATTCAAATTTTAACGCCTCAGAAATTAAAGATCGAGGAACTAAAAAATCGAAAAATTAAAGAGTTATCAAACTGAAAATTTGAAGAAACGAAAAATCTAAAAATCAAGAAACTGTAAAATTGAAAAATTAAATAACAAAAATAAAAATATTGAAAAATCGAAAAGTCACAAAATCGTAAAGTTAAAGATCTAACCATTGAAACGTGGAAAAAATCTCAAAAGTCGTAAAATTAAAGAAACGAAAAAGTGGAAAATGAAAAAAATAAAAAATGCAAGTGTTGAAAATCAGAAAATTGACAAATTTAATTTTGAAAACTCGAAAAATCAAAGACACCCAGAATGGAAAAAATTACAAAATTCAGTTATCGAAAATGGAGTTATCTGACTATTGAAAGATGGCACAATTTCAAAATGATAATTGAAGAAAAGAAAAATTCAAGAATTAAAAATTCAAAAATTCATAAATTGGGAAATCGAAAAATTACAAAGTACAAATTTTAAATCAAGAACTGAAGAAACGAAAAAATGGGAAAATTAAAAAATATAAATACTGAAACGTCGAAAAATTCCAAAAATCTTAAAATTTAGAAACGTAAACTTGAAAAACCGAAAAAATAAAAAATTCAAATGATGAGAAATAGAAAAATGGAAAATTTTTATTTTGAAAACTCGAAAAATCGAGGAAACGAAAAATTGGAAAATCGAAAAATCTGGAAATTCCCAAATTACAAAATTAATGAAGCGAAAAATTAAAAAGATCAAAAGTTGAGAAATCGAAAAATTGAAAAATTCAAATTTTATCGCTTCAAAAATTAAAAATCGAGAAACTAAAAAATCGAAAAATTGAAAAAACGAAAAATCTAAAAATCAAGAAACTGAAAAATTGAAAAATGAAATAACAAAAATCAAAATATTGAAAAATCGAAGTCACAAAATCGTAAAATTAAAGAAACGAAAAAGTGAAAAATGAAAAAAATAAAAAATGCAAGCATTGAAAATCGAAAAATTAACAAATTTATTTTTGAAAACTCGAAAAATCGACGACACCCAGAATGGAATATTGGAAAAATTGTAAAATCCCAAAATTACAAAGTTCAGTTATCGAAAAATGGCACAATTTCAAAATCATAATTGAAGAAAAGAAAAATTCAAGAATTCAAAATTAAAAAATTCAAAAATTGGGAAATCGAAAAATTGAAAAGTACAAATTTTAAATCTTGAAAAATTGAGGAAACGAAAATTTGATTAAATAATCGACAAATTGAATAACAGAAAAATTAAAAAAACGAAAAACAAAAGATGAAAAATTTAAATACGGGTACTTAAAAATTAAAAATCGAAGAAAGGAAAAATCTAGAAATGAGAAATTGAAAAATCGACAATTAAATAACAAAAATCTAAATATTGAAAAATCGTAAAATTAACGACACGAAAATTCCAAAAATCGAAAAATCGAAACTTATATTTTAAAATTCGAAAAAATGAGCAAATGAAAATACTGAATAACCGAAAAGACTACAAAATCGAAAATGAAGAAACGAAAACCTGAAATGTCGAAAAATAGCAAAATTCTAAAATTAACAAGTGAAAAATTAAAAAATAAATTCAAATTTTGAAAAATCGAAAAATTGAAAAATTCAATTTTGTAAACTCGAAAAATCGAGGACACAGAATCGAATATTTGACCAATTTATCTAACAATCGAAAAATTAAAAATTTTAAAACCGTAAAAGTGAAGAAAAGAAAAATTCAAGAATAGAAAAATCCAAAAGTTGGGAAATTTAATAACTGAAGAAATGAAAAATCTAAAAATCAAGAAACTGAAAAATTGAAAAATGAAATAACAAAAATCAAAATATTGAAAAATCGAAAAGTCACAAAATCGTAAAGTCAAAGAAACGAAAAACAGAAAAATTCAAACATCTAAACATTGAAACGTGAAAAAATCGCAAAAGTAAAATTAAAGAAACGAAAAAGTGGAAAATGAAAAAAATAAAAAATGCAAGTGTTGAAAATCGAAAAATTAACAAATTTAATTTTGGAAACTCGAAAAATCGAAGACACCCAGAATGAAATATTGGAAAAATTGGAAAATCACAAAATTACAAAATTCATTTATCGAAAAATTTCAAAATCATAATTGAAGGAAAGAAAAATTCAAGAATTCAAAATTCAAAAATTCAAAAATTGGGAAATCGAAAAATTTAAAAAGTACAAATTTTAAATCTTGAAAAATTGAGAAAACGAAAATTTGATTAAATAATCGACAAATTGAATAACAGAAAAATTAAAAATCGAGAAAACTAAAAAAACGAAAACCAAAAGATGAAAAATTTAAATACGAGTACTTAAAAATTAAAAATCGAAGAAAGGAAAAATCTAGAAATGTGAAATTGAAAAATCGACAATTAAATAACAAAAATCTAAATATTGAAAAATCGTAAAATTAACGACACGAAAATTCCAAAAATCTAAAAATCGAAACTTATATTTTAAAATTCGAAAAAATGAGCAAATGAAAATACTGAATAACCGAAAGGACTGCAAAATCGAAAACTGAAGAAACGAAAACCTGAAATGTCGAAAAATAGCAAAATTCTAAAATTAACAAGTGAAAAATTAAAAAATAAATTAAAATTTTGAAAAATCAAAAAATTGAAAAATTTAATTTTGTAAACTCGAAAAATCGAGGACACAGAATCGAATATTTGACCAATTTATCTAACAATCGAAAAATTAAACATTTTAAAACCGTAAAAGTGAAGAAAAGAAAAATTCAAGAATAGAAAAATCCAAAAGTTGGGAAATTGAATAACTGAAGAAATGAAAAATCTAAAAATCAAGAAACCGAAAAATTGAAAAATTAAAGATTTAGAAAATCAGAACATTGCAAAAACGAAAAATTGAAGAAACAAAAAATAAAAAATTGCAAAAATAGAAATTCAAATGTTGGAAAATCGAAAAACTGAAAAATTTAATTCTGAAATCTCGAAAAATCGAGGAAACTAAGAACGGGCTATTGTTAAGTAATTAAAGAATCGAATAATTAAAAGATTCAAAAGTTGGGAATTTTAAGTTTTCCACACTGAGGAAATGAAAATTTGAATAATCGACAAATTGAACAATTAAAAAATTTTAAATCGAGAATCTGAAAAATCGAAAACCCTAGAAATGCGGAAAAGGGTATAATAAATGAAAACTTCTAAACATACATTGATACATTTTTAGAAGTTAATGGCGACATTTTTGAATATCTTGAAACCAGCAATAATTTTTCATTTTAATATTTTTAGTAACCTTTGACTATACGGAATGAGTCACTAAGCGCCCGGTCTTCGATAAAAAATTATTTTAGTATGTACAGAGTGTTCTGTTTTTAAGGCATAACATCCAACTATTTTTTTTTTGAATGGCATAATGTATACCAGAATTTTATAACCACAGTATAGAGAGATAAATAAAGTAATACGCTTGCTTATGGTATCAATACAATTGAATCTTCGTCTACAGAGTGTTCATAAAAATTATATTGTTACAATTTTCAAATATCGATATTTCGGTTTGTTTTTTTCAATGAACAGCTATAGATATTTTTCTTTTTATTTTGTTAAGTATTTTCTGTATTTAAAGTTGAATTTTTTTCACTAATTATTGGCAGTCTAGAAAGCTAAATAGGCGAAAAGTGACATTGTTGTGTTTTTTTTTTAATTATTGATTACAAGAATTCTCGAACCCTCTAATGGCGTGAAATCCCACTGCCGTTACCAATTGGAGGTCACCAAACGACCTTTAACTGAAAGCATAATTTAATTACTTACCTAGTATCCATATTAAAATAAGATTAATAGACACGATAAAGAATTCGTAATTACCGTTGTTTTATTAAAACCAAGTAAGTGTTTTATAAGAGCCATTCAGAAAAGACCGAGACTGACGCAATTACCAAAGGGAATGAAAACTAAACAAAATTAGAATTTTAACTCAATTAACTCCTTTTTTTCTCCAGGTACGAACATCGCCTACCGCAAACCCGCCAACCAGTCCACCACCGTCCGTGGGGGCAGCGCCCTCAACGCCAACGACGGCGAAAAGAGCACCGACCACGACGGCAAAAGGTGCTCTGAGACCCAGAAGGAGGCCAGCCCCTGGTGGCAGGTGGACCTCCTCCAAGCCTACGCCGTCAAGGTCGTCAGGGTTACCACCCGCGGCTGCTGCGGCCACCAGCCCCTGCAGGACCTGGAGATCCGGGTGGGCAACAGTAGCAGCGACCTCCAGAGAAACCCACTGTGTGCCTGGTTTCCCGGCACAATAGGTGTGTACACAGTCTATTTTCATTTCAAAATAAACACTTAGAGGCGAAATTCCAGGATCGTGGTGAAGGTTTATGAGGTCAAATTGCATCTAACTAGTTTAACTGAAAGTTTCAAAATTAATTTATAATCTCACTATTATTGGAATGAATATCCCACTTAGGGACTTCGGGGAAAAACACCAACAATGGCATGTATAGATTGATATGATATGGCTATAAATTTTCCTTTTCTTATGGGAGATTTCTTCATGAATAACCTAGTTGTTTTTATTATTAGAAATCTAATTAGTATGCTGATGCTGTTTTGAAATTGGTTCGGTTCAATCGGTTTTCTGTAGGTTTTTCGTGGGAAAATCGTGAGTTAATTGCGACGCTTGTTTTCGGGTTTGGGGAATTTCACATGTGTTGAGTGCGATTGTGAAACGAGATTTTTGTCGGTTGGGTGAAGAATCGTGGTTTTTGCGGAGTTAAATGATAAAATAATGAAGAAGATATTTCGTTGGAGAGAAAGTTCAAGACAGATTGTGGCTAAAGGTCAATTAGGTGAGGATTGTGTACTCATTGACGGAAATTTTGAGTATGAATTAGCAATGAACGGAAAGACCAATAAATTATGGAAATAACAATTCTACAAAATATAAAAAGTACTTTTTTAGTAATAATTTAATATCGTTATAAATTCCAAGTTTATACATATATTGAAACTAAAAAATTTCAAACATTTTTTACGAAGAACTTTCCAATTATATACATTTTAATACAGTATAATTTAATCCTAGAAAAAAAAACAATTTCTGACATAATGATTAAATGTAAGTATAAACACTGAAAATTTCGAAAAAAAAAAAATTTAAAAACCGAACAGTCAATAAACTTTCCGACAACAATCTTTTGAACTTGGAGTTTCCTTTATTTTAAATATTGAGAATACCATTAAGCTTGGAATTTGGAAAATCTTGAATCAATTAGAATTTATTTAAAATTTCAACTTTTCGAAAAAATTACAAAAAACAAATGGTACAAAATAAAAACAATGTCTGGAATTTGATCAATATGACATCGAAGATAAAAAGCATGGGATACATTTATAATTAAAATTACAGCATTATAATAAAAAGTTTTTTTAATTTGATAAAATAGGATACTCCTGTAGGTACTTGTGGAAAAAATTCAAAACTGAATAACAATATTTTGCAATATAACTTTGAAACTGCAGAACCCATTGCTCTGAATTCTTGTAAATATTTTAACGTTATTGTAATTATGGTAAATCGTCAATCAATTTCCTCCCAAAAAATTGATGACGTCATCTCAAAGTTTGGCCGAATAAATTTTGGCGTTTCGAAATTTTCGATTTTTTTCTTTTGTCAATTTCTCTATAAATAGATTCTTTGATTTTTCGACTGTTTCACTCAAGTTGTCGATTTTTAGTTTTAGCATGTTTCAATTTTAGGATTTTTCAATATTTCGATTTTTTAATTTTTCGATTAGTTGATGTTTTAATTTTTCGATTCAGTTTTTCAATTCTTCCATTTTTCGGTTTATTGCTACTTCAATTTTCAATTTTTCAAATTTTTAAATGTTAGATGTTTCACTTTTTTGATGTTCGGATATCGCTATCTTTCGATTTTTGGACTTCTCGCTTTTAGATTTTTCGATTTCTCAATTTTTAGACATTTTAGTTTGAGGAATTTTCAATTTGTCGATTCTTCAAATTTTCGATTTTGCAAATTTTCGATTCTCGATTTTTTATTTTTCGATTTCTCGATTTTCCAATATTTCAGTTTCAATTTTTCAATGTTTAAATTTTTTTTTATATTTTATATATTTCTATTTCTTGATCTTTCGATTTTTCGACTCCTCGATTTTAGATTTTTAGATTTCTTAATTTTTCGATATTTTAGTTTGAGGATTTTTCAATTTGTCGATTTTCCGATATTCCAGTTTTCCGATTTCAGTTTATCAATTCTTCAATTTTTCGACATTTTAATTTTTCATTTTATTTTTTAAATTTTAGATATCTCTATCTTTCGATTTTTCGACTTTACGCTTTTAGATTTTTCGGTTTTTAAATTTTTCGACATTTTAGTTTGAGGATTTTTCAATTTGTCCATTCTTCAAATTCTCGATTTTTCTAATTTTCGGTCTCTCGATTTTTATTTTCGATTTTTCGATTTTCCGACATTTCAGTTTTACGATTTCAGTTTTTCGATTCTTCAATTTTTCGACTCTTCAAATTTTTCGATTTTTCAATATTTCGATTTTTGGCGTTCCGAAATTTTCGATTTTTCCTTTTCTCAATTTCTCTACTAAGCGATTCTTTGATTTTTCGACTTTTCGATTTCCCAATTTTTTGATTTTTTGATTCCTCCACTTTTTGTTTTCTCGATTTTTCAATTTTTGGATTTCTCAAGTTTTACTCAGTATTTCTCAATTTTGGGATTTTTCGATATTTCGATTTTGTGATGTTTTAATTTCTCGATTTTTCAATTTTTCGATTTCTCAAGTTTTCGATGTTTCAGTTTTAATATTTTTCAATGTTGGGATTTTTCGATATTTCGATTTTTCAATTTTTTGATGTTTTAATTTTTCGATTCAGTTTTTCAATTCTTCAATTTTTTGACATTTTAATTTTTCGTTTTATTTTTTTAATTTTAGATATTTCGATTTCTCGATTTTTCGTTTTTTTACTACTACACAGTTTTCAATTTTCAATTTTTCGAATTTTTAAATGTTAGATTTTTCGGTTTTTCAATTTTTCGACATTTTTAGTTTGAGGATTTTTCAATTTGTCAATTCTTCAAATTCTCGATTTTTCAAATTTTCGATTTCCCGATTTTCCGACGTTTCTATTTTACGATTTCAGTTTTTCGATTTTTCAATTTTTCGAACCTTCAAATTTTTCGACTTTTCAGTATTTAAATTTTTGGCGTTTCAAAATTTTCGACTTTTCCTTTTCTCAAGTTTTGGATGTTTCAGTTTTAGTTTTTTCAATTTTGGGATTTTTCAATACATATTTCGATTTTTCAATTTATCGATTTTTTGATGTTTAGATTTCTCGATTTTTCAACCTGCGTTCCTTCAATTTTTCGACGTTTTTTTTTTTAATTTTAGATATTTCTATTTCTTGACCTTTCAATTTTTCAACTTCTCGCTTTTAGATTTTTCGGTTTTTCAATTTTTTGATTTTTAAAATTTTTATTTTACCAGTTTTCAATGTTTCGGTTTTTAAATTTTTCAATTTTCAGTTTTCCGATTTTCAAATTAATCGAAATTTCGGGGTATCGGTTTTTTAACTTTTCGATTTACCGTTTTTTAAAATGTTTCAATTTCAAATTTTTCGAATTTCGATTGTTCAGCTTTTGGACTTTTCGATTTCTCAATCTGTTGATGTTTCGATTTCTAGATGTTTTAATTTTTCAATTTCGATTTCTCGGTTTTTCGATTTTCCGACTTTTCTCGATTCTACGGTTTTTCAATTTTTCGACATTTCAGTGTTGGGATTTTTCAATTTCCTGATTTTTTAGTTTTTCGATTCTTCAGTTTTACGATTTTTCAATTTTTCAAGTTTATTAATCGTAGATTTTTCGATTTCTCGATTTCTAGTTTTTGATGTTTCGATTTTTCAATTTCGATTTCTCGGTTTTTCGATTTTTCGACTTCTCGATTCTACGGTTTTTCAATTTTTCGACATTTCAGTTTTGGGATTTTTCAATTTCTCGATTTTTTAGTTTTTCGATTTTTCAATTTTTCGATTTTTTAATAGTAGATTTTTCGATTTCTCAACTTCTAGTTTTTCGATTTTTTAAATTAAATATTAACGATTTTTCCATTTTTCGATTTTACGATTTTTAGTTGTTTCGAATTCCCGATTTCAACTTTTTCGACTTTATTTTTTTGTTTTCTCGATTTTTCAAGTTTTCGATTTTTCAATTTTTCGATTTTTTTAATTGTAGATTTTTCGATTTCTCGATTTCTAGTATTTTGATTTTTGGTTTTTCGATTTTTTAAATGTTATATTAACGATTTTTCCATTTTTAGATTTTACCATTTTTTTATATTTCGAATTCCAGATTTTAAACTTTTTAGTATGTATATATTTTTTCAATTTTCGAATTTTAAATTTTTTTGACTTCATTTTTTTCAAAATCTCATTTTATTTCAATTTTTTTATTTCTCGATTTTTCGGCTTCTTACTACTTCAGTTTTCAAATTTTCGAATTTTACAATGGACTTTAAATGTTAAATTTTTCACTTACTTTATGTTTTGATATCTCTATCTTTCGATTTTTCGACTTTTCGCTTCTAGAGTTTTCGGTTTTTCAATTTTCCGACATTTTAGTTTTACGATTTCAGTTTTTTGATTCTTCAGTTATTCTATTTTTCAAATTTTTCGATTTTTCAATATGTCAATTTTTCGTTTCGAAATTTTCGACTTTTCCTTTTCTCAATTTCGCTATTAAGCGATTCTTTTCGATTTCTCAAGTTTTCGGTGTTTCAGTTTTAATATTTTTCAATTTTGATATTTTTCGAAATTTCGATTTTTCAATTTTTCGTTTCTTCAATTTTTCGACGTTTTAATTTTTTTTTAATTTTAGATATTTCTATTTCTTGATCTTTCGATTTTTCAACTTCTCGCTTGTAGATTTTCCCGTTTTTCAATTTTTTGATTTTTGAAATTTTTGATTTTTCAAGTTTTCAATTTTTCGGGTTTTAAATTTTTCAATTTTCAGTTTTCTGAATTTTCAATTTTCAGTTTTCCAATTTATCGAAATTTCGATGTATCGATTTTTTAATTTTACCATGTTTTTGATGTTTCGATTTTTCAATTTCGATTTGTCGGTTTTTCGATTTTTCGACTTTTCGGTTCTACGGTTTTTCAATTTTTCAACATTTCAGTTTTGGGATTTTTCAATTTCCCGATTTTTTTTCGATTCTTAAGTTTTTCGATTTTTTTGAATGTAGATTTTTCGATTTCTCGACTTCTAGTTACGGTTTTTAGTTGTTTCGAATTCCCGATTTCAAACTTTTCGACTTCATTTTTTTGTTTTCTCGATTTTTCAAGTTTTCGATTTCCCAATTTTTCAATTTTGGGCTTTTTTCAAAATCTCATTTTTTTCAATTTTTGGATTTTGATCGATCTTTCGACTTTCGGATTTCGATTTATCGGTTTTTCAATTTTCGATTTTTAAATTATTTTTTCATTTCTCGAGTTTAGTTTTTCGGTTGTTCGATTCCTCGGTATTTTTTGTAATTTATCAAAGGAGCGGGATTTGTTGGGCTGCAATTCAGGAACGAGGGAAGTTCTGTCGACCAATTTTTTTGATAATTATGCCATTATGACTTTGTTTATTTAAGTATTGAGAATCCCGCAATCTCTCAACTTTTTCTCAGTTCAAAAATATTTCCAAGTTAACACAATTAATTTGTTTAAATGACAAACTAATTAAGTTCTTTTTGGTTTCGACAACCGGTTGTGCAATCACAGGATTTTTTCACAAAAATTCCCGAACAGAATCAGGAATATATTAACAACGCAATAAAATATGTGTTCTATTTTTAATTTTTTAATAATTATTCATACAAAAAACCGGCTCCTCGCCACGCCTTCCACCTATTGTATAATTTTCTACAGTTACGTTAATTATTATTGTCACATGAAACATGAAAGTCAACTGAAAGTAAAACTGAATAAAATAAATAATTAACTAAATTCAAGTAAAACTCAGCACACGTACACTTTCAACCTCTTGCCTAGCAACTGTGAAATACCATCCAGTTTTTCGCGAGTGCATTAATTAAACCCAGCGAATTTACATAAATAACAACACTCAAACTCTTTCACTCGACACCTCCAAGACGAAAAATCATCCACAAAAGAACCGTTCCACGATCGACAACTTTGCAACTATTTAGGTTTCTGAAATATCAAACTATTACTCACGTTCTTCGTCCACGATTTACTACAAGGCAAATCAAATCGGGCAACATTTTCGCATGAATGCGCGTTCAGTTATTTTTCTGCCACACTTCTGGTTTTTTAGCGACCTTGAGTGCCACTATACATGAGCAATATTTTCGAGAAAGCAACGACCTCGCGACGACGAAAATTTCGAATTGGTATAATTTTGTTGGAATTATTTTTTTAGCAACAAACGAAAGTGGCATTTGCATTGCGTTTACCGCTTGACAAATATTATGAAAGCAAATGTGTCTATTCACTGAATACGAATTCGTTCCGCTTGTTGTGCATATTATAACAATAACTGGCTTTTGCAGACGAGGGAATAACGAAAACGTTCACCTGTGCCAGGGTCCTGACAGGACAATTCGTTTTCCTGCAGCTGGTAGGAGTGGAAGGATCGCTGTCCTTGTGCGAAGTGGAAATTTTCACCACGGATGGTAAGTGTATGCAGAATGACGTTTATGTAACGTTTATGTTAGGTAATGAATAAGGCGTTACTTTAACTTAAATAAGTACATGAAGTTATCGCGTAAATATAGATCTGCTTCTGACTCAATTCTGAAGAGCCGCTGCATCCGCTGACTTCACTATTAAGTCATAACACGAAATTTAAATAAAGGTTTCATTAGACAGATCTTATCATTATTTATTTAGCATTGTGACGGTAATGTAATTAGAAAGGTGTAAAACACTCAGTTAAAACAATCTAAGTAACATAATTAGATAATGCGTTACAAGCAACTAAGGATATTTCGTATCTTAATCTTCTTCCAAGCTCAAGGTTTCTAAAATTCTATTATAAACTCCAATAATATCTCTCGCCTGATTGTCGGTATTGACGGTTATGATTTTATTTTGTGTCTGTAATAATAATTTCGACACGGTCATGGTTCTAAATTTGAATTCTTGTTCGTCGGTATCGCTTTCGAGCAGCTTTCGCTTTTCGTTGCACTGGTAGCATTTTAATTAGGGTGTATTTAGAAGAAATGGATGAATGGAAATATGCTATTGTTATTAATTGTGAAGAGCACAGCGGGTACGCAGATTGTGTTGGGAACAATGATAATTTCGAGCCGTTCTCAGGATTGTTTGCGGAGTTTCTTCTTTTCTACGTCGGAAGAAAACGGGTTTGTGGAAAATGAGTCGGAGTTAATAATCGAAATTGTTTTTTATGCTCTAGTGATTTGTGCAAGGTGGTTCGGACAATGCTAGAAATGTTGGATTTGGACACTGACAGATTTGAACAGTTCGTGCGCCTATTTTTTGTGCATTGTAACTTCGTGAAAGTTTGTTACTATTTTTGTGGTTAAATTTCCTTCTCCGATTCTCCTTCGATTTGCCTTCTCAATTATTCCTGGATTTTCTTCGGAATTCTCTTTCTCGAGATTTTCCTTCCCGAGATTTTCCTTGTCAGAGTTCAGCTTCCCGGTTTTTCTTTCAGGAATTTTTTTTATTGACTCCCCTTTCGCGGATTTTTTATATCAGATTGTCTTCCGATTTTCCTCTTCTATTCTCTGGCTCGAACTTCTACTCTCTAATTCTCCTTCCCGGATTATTTTGAGATTTTTCTCGGAATTTTCCTTCTCAAGATTTTCCTTCCCGGAATTTCTTGAATTCTCTTTCTGAGATTGATTCTCCTTGTCCGGTTCTACTTCTCAGATTCAGTTTTCCGATTATTCCTTCTCGACTCCCCCTCCTCGAGTTTTCCCTTCTCAAATTGCGCTTCTTGGGATTGTCCTCGAAATTCTTGTTCTAGGATTCTTCTGATCGAAATCCACTTGTAGGATCCTCCTTCTCAGTTTGTCGTTCTCGGATTTTTTTTAGATTGGTTTTCTTAAATTCCCCTTATTGGATTTCTGTTTTCACGATTTCTTTTCGTGGAAATTTTCTCCGAATTCTCTTTCTCGAGATTCCCTTATCCGACGTCTTCCTCTCAGCCTTTTTTTCCCAATTTCTCTTTCTTCGGCTTTTTTTTCTCGGGCTTCTCTCTGGGTCTTCTCTCTCTCTTTCTCTCTCTCTCTCTCAATAATTCCTTTTTCGTGATTTCTCGTAATCCTTTTTTTTGTGGTTTTCTTCATCGGTATTCCCTTTTTCGAGGTTCTAATTAGGTTACCCTTCTCCGGATTCTCCTGAATTTCTCTTTTCTCGTTCGCAAATCCATTTTCTTAGATTGTCCTTATCGTATTCTTCGTTTTGAATTCCTCTTCCTTATTTTCTTTTTCACGATTTCCCTTCTCTTCTTCTTGGAATCTCGGATTCTTTTTCTTGGGATATACGTTCTCAGTATTCTTTACCTCGAGATTCTCTTTTTCGGGAATTTCTTCCTCGGGCGTTTTCTTCTCAGGATTCTCTTTATAGGGATTTCCCTTTTCGGGAATCCCCTTCTCGTGATTCACTCTCTCGGGATTCTGTCTGGGCCATCTTTTCTTTGGAAAAGTTTCTTTCGGAATCCTTTCCAGTCGATTCTCATTGTCGGGGTTGCTTTTCTTCGAATTTCTTTTCTCGGGATTCTTTTTCTCGTGATTTTCTCTCTCGGGATTCCTTTTGCCTTATGTTTCTTTTTGTTCCTTTTAGATTGCCCGTCTTGGATATATCTTCCGGATTCTCTTTCTTGGATTCCTTTTTGCACAATATTCCTTCCCGCGATTTTCTTCTTGTAATCTCGTATTCTCCTTTGTAAGACAGGCGTTCTCAGGATTCTCTTTTTTGAGATTCTCAGAATTTTCTTTCTTAATCCTTGTCGATTTCTCGTTCCAGGCTTGTCCTTAGCAGATTTCCCGTCTTGGATACGTCTTCCGGATTCCTTTTTCACGTTTTCCTTTCTCGCAATTTAAACTCTTGGAATCTTCTTGACACTGACTTTCGTAGGATTCGGTTTCTTGAGATTCTATTTTTCGGTATTTTCTTTCTCGGGCTCCTCATTATTGAGATTCCATTTTTCGGGAATCCCCTTCTTTGATTCACTCTTCAGGATTCTATCTGGGACACCTTTTTGTCGGGACTGTTTCTGTCAGAATTCTCTCCTTCTGGGACTCTCTTTCTCGGGGTTGATTTTCTTGGAATTCCCTTTCTCGAGATTCCCTCTCTTATAATTCCTTTTTTTGCGTGGTTCTCTCCCTTGGGATTCCCTTCTTCAAGCTTCTTCTCGGGCTCGCGTTCTCAGGATTCTCCTTCTCGATTTATCGTTTCAGGCTTGTCATTCCCTGATTTCTTTTCTTAGATTGTCCTCCTCGGATTCCCCTTTTTGGTTGCCTCTTCTTTATTCTTTGTTTAAGATTAGTTTTTTTTCTCTCGCAATTTTTCTTTTTGGAAATATCCTTCTCGGATTCACTTCTTGGAACAAACTTTCTCGTCATTTTTTTTCTCAAGATTTCCTTTCTCGGGATTGTTTTTCTCCGACGTTTTCTTTCTTTCCAGGCATTTTTTATCGAATTTTTCTTTCCTCTACTTGTCTTTTTCGGGATTGCGACTCTCGATATTACGTCTCTCAAAATTCCCTTTCTTGAGGTTCTAGTTCTAGAAATTTCATTTTACGGGATTGTTTTTTCCGAAATTACCTTTCTCGTGATTCCTTTCTCTCTCTTGGGATTCTCTTCTAGTTTTCCATCTCATTTTCTAATTCATTTTCTTGGACTGTCCTCGGATTCTCCATCTTGTAGGCCTCTTCTAGAAATCTCGAATTCTCCTTCTTGGGATAGGATTTCTCAGGATTCATTTTCTCGAGATTCTCTTTTTCGGGATTCCCTCTCTCGTGTTCTTCTTGCCGATTTCTCGTTCCAGGCTTCTCCTTCCCGGATTCCCTTTCTTAGATTTTCCTTCTCGAGTTCCCCGTCTTAGATGCCTCTTCCCGATTCCCTTTCTTGGATTTCCCTTCTCACGATTTTTTTCTTGGAATCTCGGATTCTTCTTCTTGGGATAGACTTTCTCAGGATTCTCCTACTTGAGATTCTCTTTCTCGGTATTTTCCTTCTTGGACTCCTCTTTATCGAGATGGTCTTTTTCGGTAATCCCCTTCTTGTGATTTACTCCCTCGGGATTATATCTGGGACACCTTCTTCTCGTGACTGTTTCTCTCGGAATTCTCTCCTTCTAGGAGTTGCTTTTCTTGAAATTCCCTTTGTCGAGATTCCCTTTCTTATAATTCCTTTATTTGCGTGGTTCTCTCCTTTGGGATTCCCTTCTTCAGACTTCTTCTCGGGTTTGCTTTCTCAGGATTCTCCTTCTCGATTCATCGTTCCAGGCTTATCATTCCCTGATTTCTTTTCTTAGATTGTCCTCCTCGGATACCGCTTCAGGGAACCTTGGATGCCTCTTCTGTATTCTTTTTTTAAGATTTCCTTCTCGCAATTTTTCTTTTTGGAATTCTCCTTCTCGGATTCACCTCTTGGAACAAACTTTCTAGTCATTTTTTTTTTCTCAAAATTTCCTTTCTCGGGATTGTTCTTCTCCGACGTTTTCTTTCTTCTCAGGCTTTTTTTATCGAGTTTTTCTTTCCCCCGCTTGTCTTTTTCGGGATTGTTACTCTCGATATTACGTCTCTCGAAATTCCCTTTTTTGAGGTTCTAGTTCTAGAAATTTTATTTTTCGGGATTGTTTTTCCGAAATTACCTTTCTCGTGATTCCTTCTCTTTGGTGGTTCTCTCTCTTGGGATTCTTTTCGAGTTCTCCATCTCATTTTCGAATTCATTTTCTTGGACTGTCTTCGGATTCTCCGTCTTGTATGCCTATTCCCGATTCCGTTTCTTGGATTCCTTTTTTCACGATTTTTTACTTCTTGAAATCTCGAATTCTCCTTCTTGGGATAGGCTTTCTCAGGATTCATTTTCTCGAGATTGTCTTTTTCGGGATTGCTTCTCTTGGAATTCCCTTTTTTGGGATTCCCTCTCTCGTGATTTCCTCTTGTTATCGATTTCTCGTTCCAGGCTTCTCCTTCCCGGATTCCCTTTCTTAGATTGTCCTTCTCGAGTTCCCCGTCTTAGATGCCTCTTCCCGATTCCCTTTCTTGGATTTCCCTTCTCACGATTTTTTTCTTGGAATCTCGGATTCTTCTTCTTGGGATAGACTTTCTCAGGATTCTCCTACTTGAGATTCTCTTTCTCGGTATTTTCCTTCTTGGACTCCTCTTTATCGAGATGGTCTTTTTCGGTAATCCCCTTCTTGTGATTTACTCCCTCGGGATTATATCTGGGACACCTTCTTCTCGGGACTGTTTCTCTCGGAATTCTCTCCTTCTAGGAGTTGCTTTTCTTGAAATTCCCTTTGTCGAGATCTCCTTTCTTATAATTCCTTTTCTCTCGTTTCGGGTTTCTCGTTTTCTGATTTGTTTTCTTAGATTGTCCTTCCTTTCTTGGATAATTTTTTCGGATTCTCTTTTTTGGATTCTTTTTTCACTATTTTTCTACTTGGAATTTTCCTTCTCGGATTCACCTCTTGGAATAAATTTTCTCGGGATTCTCTTTCTCGAGAGTCCCTTTCCTTAGATTTTTTTTCTCCGACGTTCTCTTTTCAGGTTTTTATTTCTCCAGTTTTACTTTCCCCGTCTTCTCTTTCTCGGGATTGTTTCTCGTGATATTCTGTCTCTCGAGATTCTACTTTTCCAAGTTCCTGTTCTAGAAATTTCCTTTTTCGGCATTGCTTTTTCTGGGATTCCCTTTCTCGTGATTCGTTTTCTTTCGTGATTCTCTTTCTTGGGATTCCCTTTTTCAGGCTTCTCCTCGGGCTCCCCTTCTCAGGATTCTTCTTCTCGATTTATAGTTCCGGGTTTCTCGTTCTCTCATTTGTTTTCTTAGATTGTCCTCCTCGAATTTCCCTTCTTGGATGCTTTTTCCAGATTCCCCTTTTTGGACTCTTTTTTCACGATTTTTCTACTTGGAATTTTCCTTTTCGGATTCACCTCTTGGAATAAATTTTCTCGGGATTCTTTTTCTCGAGTTTCTCTTTCCCCAGCTCCTCTTTCTCGGGATCGTTTCTCGTGATATTCCATCTCTCGAGATTCCCTTTTTTCAAGTTCTAGAAATTTCCTTTTTCGGTATTGCTTTTTCCAGGATTCTCTTTCTCGTGATTCCCTTTTTTTTCGTAATTCTGTAAAAATGTCTTCGGAGTATTCGTCTTATATGCTTCTTCCGATTCGATTTCTTGGATTCCTTTTTTCACGATTTTTTACTTCCCACGATTTTTCTTCCTGAAATCTCGAATTATCCTTCTTGGGATAGACTTTCTCAGGATTCTCTTTCTCGAGATTCGCTTTCTCGGTATTATCCTTCTCGGACGTCTTCCTCGCGGGCTTTTTTTTCGAATTTCTCTTTCTTAATTTTTTTTTCTCGGGCTTCTCTCTGGGTATTCTCTCTCTATCTCTCTCTCGGGATAGGTTCTCTCGATATTTCCGCTCTCGGGATTCCCTTCTTCGAGGCTGTCCTTTGACAAAATTCCTTTCGAGGTTCTAATTGGGTTATCCTTTTCGGGATTCTCCTAAATTTCTCCTTCTCGTTCGCGAATTCATTTTCTTAGATTGTCCTTCCTCTCCCCTATTTCCTTTCTTGGATTCTCTTTTTCACGATATCCTTTCTTCCGATTTTTCTTCTTGGAACCTCGGATTCTTCTTCTTGGAATATACTTTCTCAGGACTCTCTTCCTCGATATTCTCTTTTTCGGGAAACTCCTTCTCGTGATTCACTCTCTCGAGATTCTATCTAGGACATATTTTTCTCTTCTGGTGATTGATTTTGTCGGAATTGCCTTTCTTGGTATTTTCTTTCTCGGGATTCCCTTTCTCGTGATTCCCTCTCTCGGGATTCCCTTTCTTGTGATTCCTTTTCTCTCGTGGATCTCCTTCTCGATTTCTCGTTCCAGGCTCCACATTTTCGGATTCCCTTTCTTAGATTGTTGTCCCAGATTCCCTTTCTTGAATTCCTTTTTTCACGATTTCCTTTCTAGCGATTTTTTTTGGGATTCATCTTATCGGATTCTTCTTCTTGGAATAGATTCTGTCAGGTTTCTCTTTCTCGAGATTCTCTGTTTCCGGAATCTCCTTCTCGGGCGTCTTCTTCTCGGACTTTTCATAATCGAGTTTTGCTTTTTTGGAATTCCCTTCTCGTGATTCGCTCTCTCGGGATTCTATCTTCCTGGGATTCTCTTTCTCGTGATTTCTTCTCTCGGGATTCCCTTTCTTGTGATTTCTTTTCTCTCGTGGTTCTCTCTTTTGATTTCTCGTTCCAGGCTTGTCATTCTCGGATTCCCTTTCTTATATTGTCCTTCTCAGATTTCCTTTCTTAAATTCCTTTTTTTCGCGATTTACTTTCTATCTATTTTTTTTATTTTTCTTATCGGATTCTCCTTTTTAGAATAGACTTTCTCAGTATTTTCTTTCACGAGATTCCCTTTCTCGGGATTGTCTTTCTCCGACGTCCTGTTTATGTCGTTTTTTGGTATCTTTTGTTGCTTTTTTCTGGTCAGGTTTTTTTGTAGTGTTTTCTTGGCTTTTTTCAGGTTTTATATTTTAATCATCCTATCTCCCTACCTTTTTTTGTCTTTTTTTTGTTACTTTTTTGTGTTATTTTTGCTGCGTTTTTTCTTTTTCTTTTATGTCGACTTTTCACTTTTCTCCAATTTTTATTATCAGTTTGCTTTTTTGTTGTTTTTTCGTTCGTTTTTACATCTTCCCTTTTTTTTAAGGTTTTTTTGTGCCCCCTTTTTTGACTTTTACTGTCGTTTTATCGCTTTTTGTTTTTTTGCGTTTTTTCTGTCTCTTTTTATCATTTTTTGTTATTGTTTTTTTGTTGTCTTCTTCTTGTTACATTTTTTAGCCTTTTGTGTTGTATTTGTTTTGTCGCTTTTTGTCTTTTCTCCATCTTTTTTTTGTCGCCCTTTTCCTTTTTTTATTGCTACTTTTTTTAATTGCCGTTTTTTTAATTTTTTGTTTTTCGTTTTATTGTTGCGTTTTTTAATAAATTTTTGTGGCTTTTTTTCGTCTCTTTTTTATCGCTAGCAGAATCAACAGAAACATAGAAGTTGGTTTGACGATGAATGTGAAGAAGCGGGAAGAAGGGAGACAAAGAGCAAAAGAAAATATGTTATAAACTAAAAAGTTAAAAGATATAAAAATATACGTATAAGGAAGAAAATGGAAAACAAATAGTATATACCGATACAGAATAATAATATAACTGACAGAAGCTAAAGGAAAAATGTTCAAATTCTTTTTATAAAACGTTGGTCCACATCGACGACCTTCTTGAATCAAATCTGTGCTTAAATCATATTGTACAAAATTATATTTAACAAATAAAAAAATATATGAACACGTTTTACTTCTTTCAGTTTGTTTAATTTTTTTCAAATTCAGAATTTTAAAAGCGTCTAGATGTTTCGATTTTATTTCTCTCATCTTCACTCAATTTTTGTATTCCCCTAGAATTCTCCGTGGACCGCTGCGCCCCCCGCGGCGCCCCAGAAGACGTCCAACTGGCCGCCTTCGCCCGGACCTGCTACGAATTCGGCGTGTCCAGGGGCGGCTCCTTCGTCGAGGCCCGCAACTACTGCAAAGGCCACAACGGCGATCTCGTCCACGGGATGACAGCCGGAGCGACCTCCTTCCTCTTCGCAGAACTGGAACGAAGGAAACCCATGCTGAAGACCCAGCTGGTGTGGATCGGCGCCCAGAAAGAGCCAGGAATCACCTCCAGAGTGTGGAAATGGGTTAATGGTGAGTCCAATCTGTTGTTGTTTTTATGTTCGGCGATTAGACGAAACATCCGTTAGGATAATCGTGAGAACGCTTACACAGCTACAGGACGAACGATTTTAAAATGACATGATTGCGGAGATTTTCAAGGTTGCGGTATAACGTAATAATTGCATCTAATGCGATCATCGCTGAAAAAGTAGAAAAAATTGTGTATGTATTGTGTGGATGTTGTTAAAGACTTCCTCGAACTCTCTCGCGATTTTTTTAGTTGTTTATTTGTCGATGGGAAAGTGAATAATGCATTGAACCTCACAAAGTGTTTCACTTTTTCTGGTAACTTCGACGTGTTGTGTGCTAGAAAACACGAGTAGTTGATGGTGAATGGGTTGTTGAGATTATCTTAATGTTGATGAAAAGTCGAAGATGGATGGCTACTGTTTACTTACGGTATTTCTAAATTCAAGTGCTACTTTCTTTGGAAGAAATTGATGATGCTTTTAGCCAAAATTGGTGCTTCGTGAATTTACACGCTGTGATAAATATTTATCGTTCGTTTTAATGCGCCTATCGTAATTTCTAACTTTGACATTGATCCACATAAAAATTTATTTTTAGCGTTTTGAAACGAGGTAAAGTTGTAGTGGTTTTATAATTTGCATATTTATAGATAAAATTTTAAAGGTAAGATGTTTATCAAGAAATGGATATAACAGTAAGATCACCTTCCTACTCGTATTATTATTATTTCATAGTTAATGAGTAAAATTTGTACCTAATAAATATTTTCTGTTTTTTAAATTAAACGGAGAATATTTTAAGTTCAAACAATTTAGAATTTGGTTTAAATTCCTCATTTCCATAAAAATAGTGCTTTTCCAATTTGTGAAATAAAAAAAAAATGTCATAGCTTCAACTTTGAAATATTTTTGAAAAATATTTTCATTATTTTTTCGTATCTTTGAAAAATTTTCTGTATACTAATGCTTTTTCTATCCAGACAGAACTCGTTTAAATTATTTTTTTGGAAGATTGACTCCCGTTCTTCTCGGTTATTTGAAAATTAGGTTATGATAAAAATTTATTCACATTCGCAGTGAATTGTTAGAAAAAAAAAAATCGAAATTATTTTCCATTCCAAAAATGGTATGAAAGTGATAATCTCTTTATATAATAGTGATTTTTTTGTATTGGAATAATTTATTTCAATATTTTTTTGAAAAATTTTTGAAAATTATTTTAATATTTTTCTCAATGATTTACGACAAACTAAAATTTTTTTCTATTCTACTTTGTAATTTAATCTTTTGGACAATTTTTTGAAATTTTTTTCCAATTTTTTATTACTTGTAGCATGGCGTATACATAATTAATAATATATAAAATACATAGTCTTCTTTTCATAAAAGAAATTGAAAGCATATTATAAAATGGTAGATTTTTACAGAGAAATATGTATTTTGCAATTTAGCTCCACCCCCCAACTCACGACGTATAAAAAAGTCGTCACAATTACGATAGGGTGGGTGGGCGGGGCTTATATTTTATCTTTTTTTATTAAATATACATAGTCTTCTTTTCATAACAAGAAACTTAAAACATGTTTCAAATGGTAAATGTTTATAGAGAAATATAGATTTAAAAAATATATATAATAATTGAGATAGGGCGGGTGGGCGGGGTTCTATTCTTAAGTGTAATGTATGTCAACAATTTTTTGGACACAATTTTTGGAAAACATTTTCCAATTTTTCCTCATTATTTGAATAGCTGTAGCAGAAATGGCTTCAAAGTGATAATCGGCAAATAATTCTTTACGCTATACTAATTTTTTAAAAATATTCCCCATTATTCAAACTGCTGTAATAAAAGTAGTCTCAAAGTGATAACCTGCAGATAATTCTTCATAAAACAGTGAATTTTGTGTTGGAATATAGTTCGTTTCCACATTTTTTTGGAAAATTTTCGGAAACTATTTTTTTATTTTTCTCATTTATTTGATGAGTTTTAGTAAAATTGTGTACAAGTTCGTTTTCTCCGAAAAATTCACGATAAAGTACCTAAAGCTTTTTTCTATTCGAGTAAATCCTCCTTCAAGAATTTTTTTGAACAATTTTTGGAAATTATTGACCAATTTTTCTCTATTGTTTGAACAAGTGTAGCAAAAGTGGCTTCAAAGTGATACTTTGAAGAACATTTTTGCTAAAATAATGACTTTTGTATTGGAACAGAATTCGTGCTAAAAATTTTTTTTTTTGAAAACTTGAAAATGACTTTTCTATTTTTCAAAATTATTTGAAGAACGAAAGTAAAATTGTCTTAAAATTTGTGTAATTCAAAAAATCTACGGTAAACTAACCTTTTTTTTATTCGGGTAGTCTCTTTCAACAATGTTTTTTGGACAATTTTTTTGGACAATTTTTTGGAAAATATTTTTCACAGTGATAATCTGCAAATAATTCTTTATAAAACTGTGATTTTTGTTTTAGAATAGAATTCGTCATTTTTTTTTTTTTTGGAAAAATTTTGGATTTTTTTATTTTTCTCAGTTATTTGAAGAGCTATAGTCAAATTGTGTTCAAGTTCATTAAGTCCGTAAAATTCGCAATAAAACAAGTTTTTTTTCTGTTCGAGCAAAGTCCGTTTTTTTTTAATTTTTTCAATTTTTAAAAATATTAGTTAATTTTCTTCCATTATTTAAACAGATGTAGCAAAAATGGTTTCAAAGTTATAATCTGCAGAATTCTTTATAAACCAATGATTTTTGCATTGAAATATAGTTCGTTTCAACATTTTTTTTTTTTGGAAAAATTTTGGAAATATTTTTTCTATTTTTCTCAATTATTTGAAGACCTATAATAGAATCGTCTTCACGTTAGTTATATTAAAACATTTTACGATAAGCTAACGATTTTGTCTATTCGAGTAAAGTCTGCTTCAAGAATTTTTTTGAAATTTTTGAAAAATATTTTCCAATTTTTCTGCAGTATTTGAACAGCTGTCTCAAAAATGGCTTCAAAGTGACAGTCTACAAGTATTTTTTTATGTAATAGTTACTTTGTATTGGAAAAGAGTTCGTTTTAATATTTTTTTAGAAAACTTTTGAAAAATATCTATCCCAAAAATTCACGATAAATTAACGCTTTTTTCTATTCAAGTATATGTGTCAATAATTTTTTTGAAACAATTTTTGGAAAAACAATTCTAATTTTTCTTCATTATATGAACAACTGTAGCAAAAATTGCTACAAAGTAATAATCTGTAAATAATTCTTGATGCAATATTGATTATTCTATTTTTTTGGACAAATTTTGAAAATTATTTTTCTATTTTTCTCAATTATTTGAAGAGCTGTAGCCATACAATAAAGTAAGGCTCTTTTCAAAATAAAAACCCAGGTCTGTTTCAGGATTTTTTTTTCTACAATTTTTGGAAAATATTGTCCAATTTTTCTCCATTATTCAAACAGCTGTAACAAAAATACAAATAATTCTTCATAAAATAGTGATTTTGTATTGGAATCAAGTTCATTTCAAAATTTGTTTTGGAAAATTTTTGGAAATTATTCTTCTCATTTTCTCAACAATTATTTGAAGAGTTATAGTAAAATTGCGTTTAAGTTTGTTATCTTCGAAAAATTCACAATAAATTAACACTTTTTTCCATTTCAGTAATTTTTTGGGCAATTATTACAAAATCGTTTCCAATTTTTCTACATTATTTGAACAGCTATAGAAAAATGGCTTCAAAGTGATAGTTTGCGGCTAATTTTTGATAAAATAATGACTTTTATATTGGAATAGAGTTCGTTCTAACACGTTTTTGAAAATTTTTGAAAATCAATTTTTGGTTTTCAAAAAGATTTGAATAACTGTAGTAGAATTGTCTTAAAACTCGTTAAATACGAAAAATTCGCAATAAACGAACCTTTTTTTTAATCTAGGAGTCCATTGTACATTTTTTTTTTGGACAATTTTTGAAACATATTTTCCAATTTTTCTCCAATATTTGAACAACTGTAGCAAAAATGGCTTTAAAATGATAATCTGCAGGAAAAGCTGTATTGGAACTGATTTCAATTCAACATTTTTTTTGGAAAAACTTTAAAAATGATTTTTGAATTTTTCAAAATTATTTGAAGAACTATTGTAAAATTGTCTTCAAGTTCTTTATTTCCGAAAAATTGAGGATACTGTAATTCTTTTTTCTATTCGAGTATATTCTCTTTCAAAAATTTTTCTCCATTAATTGAACAACTATAACAAAAATGGCTTCAAAGTGATCATTTGCAGATAATTATTCTTGATAAAACAATGAGTTTTGTATTAGAATAGAGTTCGTTTCAACATGTTTTTGAAAACCTTTGAAACTGATTTTTCCATTTTTCAAAATTATTTGAAGAACTATAGTAGAATTGCCTTAAAATTTGTTTACTCGAAAAATTCACGATAAACTAACTTCTTTTTTCCGAGTAGTCAGCTTCAACAATTTTTTGGACAATTTTTAGAAACTATTTTCGAATTTTTCTTGATAATTTGAACACATGTAACAAAAGTGGTTTCAAAGTGATAATTCTTAATAAAACAGTGTTTTTTTAAATAGAAAATGGTTATATTCAACATTTTTTGGAAAAATGTATAAGTTATTTTTCTATTTTATTCAATTATTTGCAGAACTATAGTCAAATTGTTCTCAAATTTGTTGTTTTCAAAAATTCACGTTTTTGGAAAACATTCTCCTATTTTTCGACATTGTTTGAATAGCTGTAGCAAAAATGACTTCAAAGTAATGATCTGTACTTTTTTTTAGAATAGAGTTTGTTTTAAAAATTTTTTGGAAACCTTTTGGAAATTATTTTTCAATTTTTCTCCATTTATTTGAACAGCTGTAGCAAAAATGGCCTCAAAGTGATAATTTGCAGTTAATTTTTAATAAAATAATGAGCTTTGTATTAGAATAGAGTTCGTTTCAACATTTTTTTGGGAAACTTTTGAAAATAACTTTTCTGTTTTTCAAAATATTTAATGAACTATAGTAGAATTGTCCTAGAATTCGTTATATTTGTAAATTTCATGATAAACTAATTTGTTTTTTATTCGAGTAGTCCGTTGCAACCATTTTTTTGACAATTTTTGGAAAATATTTTACAATATTTCTCCATATTTGAACATCTATAGCAAAAATTGTTTCAAAGTGATAATTTGTAAAAAATTCTTAATAAAATAATGACTTTTATATTGGTATAGAGTTCATTTCAACATTTTTTTGAAAACTTTTGAAAATGATTTTTCTATTTTTCAAAATTATTTCAATAACTGTAGTAGAATTGTCATAAAATTCGTTATTTTCGAAAAATTCGCAATACACGAACCTCTTTTTTATTTTAGTAGACCGTTTGAACAATTTATTGTACAATTTTTGAAAATTATTTTCCAATTTTTCTGCAATGTTTGAACAGCTGTAGCAAAAATGGCTTCAAAATGATAATTTGCAGATACATGTTGACAAAATAGTGATTTATTCTGTATTGGCACTGATTTCGTTCCAACATTTTTTTTTTTAACCTTTTGGAAATGATATTTCTATTTTTCAAAATTATTGAAGAACTATAGTAGAATTGCTTTAAAATTCGTGATATTCGAAAAATTCACGATAAACTAATTTCTTTTTTCCGAGTAATCAGCTTCAACAATTTTTTGGACAGTTTTTGAAAATATTTTCCAGTTTTTCTTGATCATTTGAACACCTGTAGCAAAAATGGCTTCAAAGTGATAATAATTCTTCATGAAATAATAACTTTTGTATTGGACTAAACCTCGTTTCAACATTTTTTTGTAAAATTTTGTAAATAATTTTTTTTTAATTTTCTCTTTTTATCAGTTATCACAAGAGCTCGTTATCTCCGAAAAAATTCACGATGAACTAACGCATTTTTCGATTCGAGTAAAGTCTGTTTTAGGACATTTTTTGAGCAATTTTTGGAAAATATGTTTGCAATTTTTCGGCATTATGTAAACAGCTGCAGCAAAAATAGCTTCAAAGTGATAATTTGCAAATAATTCTTTATGAAATAGTGATTTTTTACTGGAATAGAGTTCCTTTTAACATTTTTTTGGAAAACCTTTGGAATCTATTTTTCTAAATTATTTGGAAAGCTATGGTCAAAAATAATTTTTTCGACGATTTTTAAAAACATTTTTCAATTTTTTTCCAGTATTTGAGCAGCCGTAGCAGAAATGGCTTCAAAGTGACAATCGGCAAATACTTCTTTATAAGATGGTGACTTTTATAGTGGACTACAGTTCGATTTTTTTTTAAATTTCTGATTTTTGTATTTTTCTCAGTTGTTGTAAATTGTTCTCAAGTTTGTCATCTTCGAAAAATTCACGATAAACTAATGCTTTTTCTATTCAACTAAAATCTGTTTCAGGGATTTTTTTGGACAGTTTTTGCAAAATATTTTCTTACATTTCTCGGTCGTACATAATCTGATGTATTTAATCCCCACTAAAAGACCGATGACGTCATCAGCAAGCATTACAAAAATAATGTAGTTTGCTTTAATACATTTTAAGTTTTCTCACAAACAAACGGAAATTATGAATTAATTAATTAATTTGTGTCTTTCCAATTTGTCCAGGCGATTTGGTCCAGCGCCCAGCGTGGGGAAAAGACCAACCGAACAACTATAACGGCGAACAAAACTGCGTGGTCCTTGATGGTGGTCGCGGGTGGCTATGGAATGACGTGGGATGCAATCTCGACTATCTACCATGGATCTGTCAGCACAGTAAGTCTCCATCACAAAACAAACTCCCCGTACCCAACAGTACCCATGGCATTCGAATTAAATCATCATTAGCATATTAGTCTTCAAACAATAAAAACACATCTAACAATGCATTTAGTCCGAAGGCTGAGATGCAATGTCACCGACTATAAAAACAATAATCAACATCCAAAAACAAAATTCGAGATAAACGCGACAATTCTGTCGTTAATTTATTTACATGCAAGTCAGATCTGTTATTAAACTGTCAGTTAAATTACTGGCCAACAACACGCACTTGCTACTCCTAAAAAATCTATTGTTTTACAACCTTATGAAGGATGTCGGTGTTACTTCATCGTCTGAATATTCAAAAGTTCTTGAAGCGTGGTAATTTAGGCGGTCCTAATAATGAACAATAACTTCGGAGCTTCATAAGCTTAATCACCGACCAAAATTCCCGGATGCTTGGACGATTTTTGGTCGAAATTACGAAAAGTAAGAAAACATCACTCGAACAATGACGAAATGGAAATTCGAAATTTTAATGAATTTTGAATACAGGTGGATATCAGTAATCACGTCATGGTTCACGGCTTGGTTTTCTATTATTGGAATCAGAATCCAACTGCTATGAAATTAAATCGACACGCGTATCACTAGCATGTAACTGTACACAAACACTAATTACATATGTCAATAACCCAATTAAATCGGACTGTGCCGTACATATTAATTACCTAATTTGAGTAATATTGGTCATAGTTATTTACGGATCAAACGTTTCCAGTTTTGTGCTTTTGCAACGAAACAAAGAGAAATTGTACAGGGAGTAGGTTATTTAAATATGGTTTAAATTTTGTCGTTTTGAACCGTTTTATTTACGGAAAAACACCCTGTACATATATAGAGATGAATAATGTTTTTATGAATTATTTTTTATTAAATGTTTCAGTGTAATCATTTTGCAACTTTTCTTTTTGAAGGAAACCGATTTTTGGATGTTGCAATTATTGGTTTTTACTTAATCAATTTATCAATTTTCAATTTTTCAAGTTTTTTATTTTTCAGTTTCATAATTTTATAATTTTTCGATTTTTCAATTTTGTGCTTCTTTTATTTTGCAGTTACGTGTTTTTTTAATTTTTCCATTTAATAATTTTTCGATTTTACATCCGATTTTTCAATTTTGTAATGTTGCAATTTTTGATTTTTCAGTTTTATATTTTTACAATTTTTCGATTTCTCTTTTTCCGATTTTTAATGATCATTTTTTCAATGTACAATTTTTCATTTTTCAATTATCAGATTTCCATTTCCATTTCTCGATTTTTTAGTTTATTGTGATTTTCCATTTTTTAATGGTTTAAATTTACAGTTTTATAATTTTGTAATTTATAATTCTCAATATTTCTATTTTAAGATTTTGCAATTTATCGTTTTTGTAAATTTTTTAGTTTTGAATTATTCAAAATTTCAGTTTTAAATTTTTAAGTTTTTGATTTTTCAGTTTAATTATCTAATAATTTTTCGATTTTTGAGGTTTTCGATTTTTCAATTTTTCTGTTAATTAACACTTTTCTAATGTATTAATATTTTTTTAAATTTTATAATTTATTGTTTTTAAAATTTCGCCTTTTTGAAATATTCAATTTTTGACTCTTCAGTTAATATTCATATATTTATTTTTAATGAATCAATTTTACAATTTTCAATTCTTGATTTTTCAATTATCAGATTTCCTAGTTTCTCCATTTTTTAATTTTTTGCTTTTAGTTTTTTGGATTTTTCATTCCGCAATATTTGAAAATTTTGGAATTTTTTCGATTTTAGAATTTTCAGTTTTCGATTTTTCAACTTCTCCATGTTTCAAATTTAAGAATTTGCAATTTTTGGATTTTACCATTATTCGATTTTTCAACTTTATAATTTTGCAATTTTTCATTTTTACAGTTTAATAATTTTTAGATTTTACAATTATCTAATTTTTTCATTTTATAATTTTACAGTTTTTCAATTTCGTGATTTTGAAATGTTCAAATTTTTGATTTTTCGATTTAATTATTTTACAATTTTTCGTTTCCTTAGATTTCCAATTTTTCAATTTTGTAATTTTATAATTTTTGAATTTTTTGATTTTCTGTTCAAAATTTCAGTTTTCATTTTTTACATTTTTCGATGTTTCCATTTTTCGATTAATTTACACTTTTCTGATGTTTCAATGTTACTTTTTCACAATTTTTGGATGTCTCAATTATTCGGTTTTTAATTAATCAATTTCTCAAGTCTGAATTTTATAATTCATTGTTTTGTAAAATTTTTAGTTTTTTCAATTCATCAATTTTTGATTTTCCAATTTTTCAAATTTTTCACTTACAATTATTCGAGTTTTTGATTTTTTAGTTTCATAATTTTTCTCTGTTGCAATTATCGGATCTCCAATATTTTGATTTTAAAATTATTAATTTCAATTTTTTCTTGATTTTCACTTTTACAGTTTAAGAATTTTTCGATTTTACAATTATCCGATTTTTCAATTTTGTAATTTTGGAATATTTTAATTTTACAGTTTTATATTTTTCGACTTCTCAATTAACCGGTTTTTAGTGAACCAATTTTACAATTTTCGTTTCGATTTTAGAATTTTATCTATTTTAAAATGTTTTGATTTTTTGATTTTGTTATTTTCCAACTTCTCTGTGTTTCAATTTTAATATTTTGAAAATTCTCGATTTTATCATTATTTGATTTTTCATTTGTTTTAATTTTGCAAATTTTCATTTTTGCAGTGTAGTAATTTTTCGATTTTACAACTATCCAATTTTTCAATTTTTTGATTTTTAATTATTCAAAATTTCAATTTCATTTTTCAAATTTTTAAATTTTCAGCTTGATGATTTTAGACTTTTTCGTTTTCTTAGATTAATTTACACTTTTTTCATGTTTCTATTTTACTTTTTCGCAAATTTTGGATGCCTCAATTATTCGATTCTTAATTAATCAATTTCTCAATTTTGAATTTTATAATTCATCGTCTTTAAAATTTCTCGTTTTTTTTTCAAATATTCAATTTTCGACTTTTCAATTATCCGAATTTCATTATTTTGATTTTCCAATTTTTTAATTTTTAATTTTTCAGACTTGATTTTCAATTCGTATTGTCCGGAGTTTAGGGAATCAAATTTCTGGATTTTTTATTTTCCGATTTTGAATTTTAAATCCTTCAGTTGTTCGATTTTTGAATTTTAGAATATTATCGATTTTACAATTATTTAATTTTTCAGTTTTGTAATTTTACAATTTTGCAATTTCATAAGTTTTAATTGTTCAATAATTCAATATTTAATTTTAAATTTTCAAGATTTATTTTAATAAGTTTAATTATTTTAGAATTTTTCGTTTTTATAGGTCTCCGATTTCTCAAGTTTTGGATTTTACATTTTTTTGATATTTCAATTTTATATTTTTAAAACTTTTGTATGCGTCAATTATTCGGTTTTTAATTAATTCATTTCTCAGTTTTCAATTTTATAATGTTTCATTTTTAAAGTTTTTGATTTTTTTTCACTGTTGCGAATTTCCAATTTTTTGAATTTTGATTTTTCCAAATTTCGATTTTCGAAGTTTTTGACTTGTCAATTTCATAGTTTTGCAATTTTCCAGTTTTTCAATTTTGTAATTTTTCCGTTTTGCAATTGTCCGAATTTTCAGTTTTATAATTTTGCAACTTTTTTATTTTTTAGTTTTTATATTTTCACAATTTTTCGATTTCTCAATTGTCCGGTTTTTAATGAATCAATTTTTCAGTGTACAATTTTATTTTTCATTTATGAGATGTTTGTTTTCTCAATTTTTTATTTTATTTTGATTTTCATTTTTCAGTTCGACTTAACAGTTTTTACACTTTAATAATTTTTCGATTTTACAATTACATCCAATTTTTCAATTTTGTAATTTTACAATTTTTCAATGTTCTGATTTTTACCTGTTCAAAATTTTAATTTTGCGATTAATTTAAACTTTTTTAAATTAATGTTTTAATTTTACTTTTCCTCAATTTTGGGATATCTCAATTTCATTGTTCTGATTTTCCAATTTTTTTGATTTTTAATTTTTCAAATAATCCATTTTCAGTTTTTCTAGTTTTTGATTTTTTAGTTTCATAATTTTTCTATTTTGCAGTTACCTGACTTTTCAATTTTTTTATTTTAAAATGATTATTGTCAATGTTATATTTTTGAAAATTTTCACTTCTACAGTTTAATAATTTTTCAATTTTTCAATTTAGTAATTTTAGAATATTTTGATTTTTCAGTTTTATATTTTTCGACTTCCCAGGTGTCTGGTTTTTAGTGAAACAATTTTACAATTTTCATTTCTTGCTTTTTCAGTTATCAGATTTTCCTGATCCCCGATTTTTTTTATTTTTCGATTTTGGATTTTTGAATTTTTCAATCTTCGATTGTCCAATTTTTGAATTTTAGAATATTATCGATTTTAAAATTTGTTGATTTTTCGATTTTTTAACTTCCCCATGTTTCAATTTTAATAATTTGAAATTTTTCGATTTTACCATTATTCTCCGATTTTTCAGTTTTTTGATTTTACACTTTTTTGATTTTTTAGTCATTGTTTCGAGTTTCCAATTTTTTGATGTTTAAATTTTCAAAATTTCGATTTTAGTTTTCGAGTTTTTGACTTTTCAATTTAATAATTTTGCAATTTTTTTTTGTAGCTTTTTTATTTTTTAGTTCGGCAATTTTTTGTTTTCTCAATTGTCCGGTTTTTCAATTTTCATTTTCAAGGGAAATTTATTTCAAATTAAAACTTTTAAAGCTATTAAATTACTGAATTATTCACTTTATTAATGATCTCAAAAGTGTAAATAAACAATAATCATAATTAGCCAAAATTAACACTAAATTAATCACTAAGTCATTAAGTTAAATGTAAATTTATTATAAGTAACCGTAATTAAATGTAATTCTCCATAATCTGTAGTAATTGTTTCGTAATTTACTATACTCAGACGACTAAATTAATTAACTAAAATTTATTGTTTACGACTGTTACATGCATTCTTTGTAAACCTAATTTTAATTTTAATTTAAAACTTTCACGCACGTTTTTTAAAAATCAAAAACCGGTTATGGAGTCAGAAAATGTGTTAGTTAGCTGTTTGTTTTGATGAAACGTTTGCTTATTTATTTCAATTACGTGTGGTTAATCACTACTAGATATATGGGTTTTTAAAGGTCGTAGAAAAAATGTGTTTACTGTATAGTTCAGTACTAGGATAAAGGAAAACAAGGATTATTTAATTTTTTGAATACATAAAACTTAAGCATGCGTTACAAAGTTATTTATCTAACATCTGTATCCTTTCACTTTACCACCAGTTTGCTTAGATCCTAACATGGTAAACACCCATTCAGTTTCTTATAAAGTGAAAATCGCTGCATTTTATTGACACTTAAGTACTGCAAACTAATCAAAAACTTAGTTAAAATTAGGTAAGACCAGTGACCCGAAAATAACACTTTACCTTACTAGAGTAACCTTTCTAATCTCTCTATTTGGTAAAGTGTTACAATACTCAAATACTCTGGAGCAACAGTACTTTTTCAGCGAAAGCACGAAATTGTTAGTGTGAACTTTAAGACTCTAGAGACTGTGTACCCTTTCACCACACCCATCACGAACCACCCATAACACTCGCTCACTGTTATTTATCGTAGCACCATCATCATGCGGCAGCCCCGATAAACAACTCAACACAACCATCAAAGGTACCAACTACAACGTCAACTCAACCATCGAGTACCAGTGCCCAGAAGGACAAATGTTAATAGGGGAAGCCACAAGGTCCTGCGGGAACGAAGGGTTCTGGTCGGGACACGCCCCCACGTGCAAATATGTCAACTGTGATACTCTTCCGGGACTTGAACACGGAACTGTGACCCTAAAAGACAAGCGTACTACGTATGGAGCCCAAGCGGTCTACACCTGTCACGAAAACTACACTTTAATAGGGCACGAAGTCCGTACTTGTGGGGAAAATAGTACTTGGACGAATTCCACACCTCAGTGTTTGTTTGATTGGTGCCCTGACCCTCCTTCTATCAATGGAGGTATAGTGAAAAATTCAGGTCATCGAGCTGGAGACACGGCGGTCTATGCGTGTCAGTCGGGCTTCATCTTATTTGGACAAGGAGTGAGTACTGTTTAAAATTTGGTACTGAAGCTGTATTTTGGGGTTTAAGGTACTATCGTGCGAATTGGGCGGTCAGTGGTCTGGTAAAGCTCCCTCGTGCAAGTTTGTGGACTGTGGAGCCCCTCCCAACATTGACAATGGTCGCTATATACTAACCAATGGTACCACTACAGTTGAAAGCTTGGTGGAGTACCAATGCGGCGACGACTATTGGCTAGATGGGCAAAAAACACAGACGTGTACACGCGAAGGGAAATGGTCTGCGGACGCTCCGTCGTGTGAATGTAAGTACTTTATTGTGGTACCATTTCGTACTATGTTCTCCTTCCAGTGATTACATGCGAGGAACCTGAAGTTCCATCAGGAAGCTACGTCGTCGGGTACGACTTCAACATTCATTCGTCGATCGAGTACCACTGTGAAGTTGGACACGTGCTAAAAGGCGAACCAGTGCACACGTGTACCAAAGACGGAGAGTGGTCGGGTACTACCCCCACCTGTGAATGTAAGTCCCTTCCATTTTTTTATTTCGGTTTACTAAATAATTGCTTGTAGTTATCGACTGTGGTAAAGTTCCTACGATGTTGTACGGTACCGTCAACTACATCAACGACACGACGTACCTCGACAGCCAAATCGTCTACAGTTGTACCAAAAACTATAGGTTAAGCGGGGTTCGTAGCAGACGTTGCTTGGAAAGCAGACAATGGAGCGATTCAGCCCCAAAATGTGAAGGTACTAAGCGGTACCACAATAAATTTCGTTCCTAAAGTCACGTTTTAGAAATTCGGTGTCCCGAACCGGTCCTCGCCGAACATAGTATACTCTCAGTGACCGGAAACGACCGAATGTACGGTCGTACCCTCATCCGAACCCAGGACTCGTCAAACGTGGCCTCCACCACTTACAAAATCGGGGCTTTGGTGAAATATAGGTGCGAACGAGGCTACAAAGTTATAGGGGAGCCTTTAAGCACGTGTGAGGATACAGGGCAGTGGAGCGGGGACGTACCTCAGTGTGTCTGTACGTAAAACACTCGAGTACCGCCAGAGGTTCTAATTTCTTTTGTAGATGTCGACTGTGCGAATCCTGAGGAAATCCAAAACGGTAAAGTTACTTTAGCCACAAATGCGACCTACTATAGCGCTTTGGCGCTGTACTCTTGCAACAAAAATTTCGAGCTTGACGGGGTATCGAGGCGGCTGTGTTTGGAAAATGGTACTTGGAGTTCAAACGCGCCTGTTTGTCGAGGTACGGTGTACAAATTTTTGTTCTTTAAGAGTTCAAACTTTGGTTTTAGAGATTCAGTGCAGAGATCCAGATAGTTTGGAAGGGATGTCGTTCAAAATTAGTACCCATAGTGTGGGCGGAATCGCTGTGTATTCTTGTCCTCGAGGGCACATAATGCAAGGAAACTCGACTCGTTTGTGTTTGAAGAAAGGGGTGTGGAGTGGTCAAGCGCCTTCTTGTACTGGTACGAACAAAACAATCTTGGTACTAATGGTACCTACTTAAAATTTCGATTGCAGTGATGGACTGTAAGCACCCAGGGTTAATAGAAAACGGACGGGTGATTATAATGAACGGTACCACGTACAATAGCGGCGTGGAGTACCACTGTATACCAAACTATGAACGAATCGGACCTTATTTGAGAAAATGTATGGAAAATGGAGAGTGGTCGGGAGAAGAACCACGATGTGAAAGTAAGTACCGCAAACCATCGAGACAAACTAACGCATTTTACGCATTTTAGTGTCGAACGAAGAACCACAAGAAACCTCAAACCTAGGTACTAGTATAGGCATAGGCGCCGGAGTGGTACTCTTCCTCCTTCTCCTCCTCGGCATAATCTACCTAAAACTGTAAGTACCACCCCAATTAGTACAAATTTTTCACCAAATCCCTTCAGACGCAAGCCCATCCCAGTGAAAAACACCGAAAACGTGGAAGGGGCGGAGCGCAAAGAAGACAGAAACGCAGCCGTTATGAGTTACGCCACGCTAAGTGACAGAAATGGGTACGCTCACACGCACTTACCGCCAAACATTTATGAAAATATCCACGACGAAAACATGTACGACGCGCCTTACGAAGAAACGAGTAGGGATAGTGGCACTTACGAGCCTGAACCCATTGGACGGTCAAATGGGAGTGTAGTTACCATTAATGGCGTTTCCGTCAGATGAGGGAACTTGTTATCACGTGAACTGAACCAAAACAACGAGACCTAGATGTTGATAGTAGAGAGTTTTATTTTGGACGATTTTTAATTTAAATTGTGTTTTGTGGAGAGTTGATGTGTTGGGGACTATTTATTTGATGACTGTCAAGAGTGGAAATATGATTTAAATTAAAAATTGTTTACTTGTTGTAAATTTGTGTGGGTGGGTGTTGTGTGAATGGAGGAGTGAATGGTTCATGGGTTAAATTGTGTGGACCAATGTAAATACTCATTTTGTACTAAGATAGTGTTATTGTATTATAGTAAATATAACAAATAAATAAAATATTTGTAGTTTCATTAGTAAGATGGCTATCCTTGCTACGACTAACTCAATAGAAATATTCTATAATTTTTACGTCTGTGGTCCCAAACTTATTATTCATACTCAGGAATTAGGTGCCTCTGCCTAAGTACAGTCTTTAGATTGTGTAGAATTGCAGCTTTTAACATTATTTGTGTGCGTTTTACTTTCAAACTTATTAATATAACCAGAGAAAATAGAGAAGCGTCATAGTTTAAATTAAATGATGGTTGAGGACTCCTCGACTTATGTTGGCAACAGTGTTTGACGTCATCCGAGGTGATCAAGATGGCAGCGTTTGACAACTAACCGGTTTTCTCATAAGAGTCAATGCTAATATTTTCGCAATTCATTTAAATTTGAGAGTGTGTCAACTGTGTTTTTATACTTTGGTAAGTTTGTTACAGTTTCTAGGCTGTGTAGATATCTGTAAAACGCACCATAATGTTTTAATATGCTTAAAAAATAATGTTTTCCAATGTGATGTACAGGTTAACTTCGCTGCATCTTATATTATTTGTTTTGCAAATTAATTCGTTGTTAATGTATGTCAATGTTTTTTAAGTACACTGGCAGCTTAATATTATAATATTTTGTATTTTAGGAGAAAATGCCTAAATTTTGTGCTGTTGTGGGTTGCGCGAATCGAAGCACCAGAAATGTGGACAAATTTTATTTTCCTTTCCCAGCAATTCGCAACAATAAAGGTAAATATATACAGGATGAAACGAGTGGATTTAACAGAATCCAATGTAAAGTATTCCTATGTTTGTTCAGATCATTTTATTTTAGGTACAGTACCTACCTATTAGATTTATACAGTTTCTAACAAATTACTACATTGGTGCTCTTTTAGTTAAACCTGCAGATTTGTCGGATGTGGACCATCCTGATTATGTTCCATTTCATCTGAGTTCCTGCCACAGCGTAACGTCACGTGTTAGTGGCTAATAGAAAAAATGTCATAATATTTTTAACGACGCGTTTTACTTTCGACAAATTGACACTAGACTTACCAGAATATTACAAGCTGATTATTGTTTCCTTCACTTTAATTCAGGTCACACGAATTACAGTTCGTTGTCTGAGAACTTGTTTGATCTACAGACCACAGCGCGCTCATGCGAATGTCGACTCTAAGCGTTCGGAAACGATTTAATTTATAAGCCATGATCCGTGATCTGTTACACATCCTAACCGGTTTCGACCATAATTTCTGCTGTTTCAACTTTCGAATTCTCCGTTTTTCGAAATTTTAGTTTGGGGATTTTTCAGTTTACTCCTATTTATTACTCAATTTTTCAATTTCTCGGTTTTCACTTTTTCTCTTCAATTTTACGATTTTTAAATATTTTTCAATTTTTGACTTTTATAAGCTCTTTATGTGTCGATTTCTTAATTAATTGATTTTTCAGGTTTTTTTGGTTTTTCATTTTTTCTACTTTTTCAGGTTTCGATTTTTCAACTTCACTTTTTTGATTTTTCGATTTCTCAATTTTTTAATTTGTCAGTTTTTGGATATAACAGTTTTGGGATTTTTCAGTTTACTTGTTTTTCAATTTTTCGATCTTACGATTTTGCAGGTTTTTGATTTTTCAATTTTTCGATTTTTTTAAGGTTTCGATATTTCGACTTCACTTTTTTGATTTTTCGATTCTTTGGATTCTCAGTTTTTGGATATTACAGTTTTGGGGTTTTTCAGTTTTTCGGTTCGTCAGTTCATTTTTTAGTTTTGGGATTTTTCAATATTTCTGTTTTCCAATTGTCGTTTTTTCAAATTTTCTTCAATTCTTTAATTTTTTGATTTTTCAGGTTTTTGATTTTTCAATTTTTCGATTTTTTAAGGTTTCTATTTTTCGACTTCACTTTTTTGGTTTTTGGACAGTTTTTTGAACATTTCAGTTTTGGGATTTTTCAATATTTCCCATTTCTTGACCTTCGAGTGTTTCGATTTTCCTGTTCTTCAATTCTTTAATTTTTTGATTTTTCAATTTTTCGATTTTTTAAGGTTTCTATTTTTCGACTTCACTTTTTTGGTTTTTCGATTTTTCAGTTTTTGGGCATTTCAGTTTTCGGATTTTTCAATATTTCTGTACTTCGACTTTTCCATTTTTGACTTCTGGATTTTTCGATGTGTCGACTTTTTACTTTTTCCATTTTTTAATTTTAGATTTCTCAATTTTTAGTATTTTAATTTTTTAATATTTAAAATTTTTGATTTTTCGATTTCTCGATTTTTCATTTCAGCTCTTCCATATTTCAATTTTACAAATGTTTCGATTTCTTAATCAATCGATTATTCGACTTCCCGGTTTTAGATTTTCTGTCTTTCAATTCTCGTTTTTGCAATTCTTTTCTTCTCTTTTTAAATTTTACAGTTTTCAGTTTTTTGATATTTTAATTTTTAAATATTTAAAATTGTAGATTTTTCGATTTCTCGATTTTTTCACTTCAGTTCTTCGATATTTCAGTTTTTCAAGTTTTCGAATTTTTCAAATGTTTTGATTTCTTGATCAATCGATTTTTCGACTTCCCGGTTTTAGATTTTCTGTTTTTTAATTTTTCAAATTTGACTTTTATAAACTCTCAATTTTTCGATTTTTCAATTAATCGATGTTTTGATTTTCCCATTTCTTGACCTTCGAGTGTTTCGATTTTCCTGTTCTTCAATTCTTTAATTTTTTGATTTTTCGGTTTTTGATTTTTCAATTTTTCGATTTTTTAAGGTTTCTATTTTTCGACTTCACTTTTTTGATTTTTCGATTTTTTTGTTTTTAGGTATTTCAGTTTTAGGATTTTTCGATATTTCAATTCTTCGGCTTTTCTATTTTAGACGATTTATCGGTTTTTCAATTTTCTATTTTGGCCTATTTCGATTTCTCAGTTTTTCCAGTTTTCCATTTTTTTATTTTTCCGCTTTTCCAATTTTTCAACTTTTAACTTTTTGTTTGTCGATTTTTCTATTTTTCGATTTTGCGACTTCATCACTTTTCGATTTCTCGTTCTTTTGATCTTCCAATCAATTCAATTTTTGAAAATTTTAAGTTTTTTGATTTCTCGATATATCGAGACTTGGATTTTTCGATATTTTGATTGCCAATTTCTCAATTTATAAATTGTTTAATTTTTAAGTTTTCGATTTTTCGATTTTGGCCTATTTGGGTTTCTCAATTGTTCGACTTTTCGACTCCACGATTTCTTGATCTTTTGATTTTTCGAGTTCTCAATTTTTCGATTTTCCAGTTTTTCGATGTTTCGATTTTTCAAGGTTTCGATTTTTCGATTATTAGATTTCTCAATTTTTGGAATTTTCCATTATTTTAATTGTTTGTTTTTTTTTCTCAGTTAATATCATACAGTGTATCGAAAACAACCACAAAATTGTCACTAAAATCATTAAGGGTGGGTTTTTCCATCTCTAGTTAACTTACGGTTTAACCTAACTCACAGTTAACTAGGCCTGCAGTGTTTTTCCATTTTCGTTAACTAACGGTTTAAAGTTAACTTCTAATTTCATTTAACCAAAACTCAAAGTATCAGTTAACTAGTAGTTTCATATTTTGACGTTTGATTTGATAAAACTGTCATCAGTAAAATGATGGATTTCGTCGATATTAACGTTTATAGCGACGATGAGGAGGTGCCTGTACGAAAATAAAGAGTTTTAAGGGAACGTATAAACCATTTTGAAAAATGGGATAGAAAAGAATTCTTACAAAGATAAACGTTTGCAACTTTTTTTTTAAATTGGCGTATTTGCATTTTAAAATTTGGACCCCTTTAAAATGCCCCCCAACAGTGGAATTGAATTCATCTGCAATGGTACGCCAGGTATTTGCCTTCTGCTCCCATGTTACCTGGCCACTTTTTTTGCATTCAATTATATTTCTATTTTTATTAACCAATTGGGTCAAAATCCTTTCCCCTTCTTTCGTAAAGTTAGAACACCGCTTTGTTTTCTCTGTGTTACTCATTTTTGTACAAAATAATCACACCAGAAGAATTTGAATGACATTTATCACAATAAACAACAGATTTGTGAAACGTTGCCATAGATACCAAATATAAATCATAGTTAACTGTTAGTTTTCTAACCAAATTTACAAATTTGTTGGAAAAACGCATTCAAAATTAACTGCTAGTTAACTTGGAGTTAAAGTTAACTAAAAATTACGAAACCAGAGGTTAACTACATTTTGGAAAAACCCACCCTAAAAAAAAATAGAACACAGTGTTTCCAAAACGTTTTCCCGAAAAAATCCATTGGGTTACTACGATTTCAACAATATTCTTAGTTTAAGACGTTTTGCTAGTATAAAACGCAAATAATTAAACAAAATATGTAAAATCATCTAAATACATATGTACCAAAAATATTCGCTTAGTCGTTATAAAAAACGACCAAACAACTATTTCCCGCAGAAATTATAGTCTAAACCAACCAAATCGCTTCTGAACGCTTAGAGTCGACAATGGCCTGAGCGCGCTCTGGTCTGTAGATCAAACAAGTTCTCAGGCGACGAGTTGTAGTGAATCAAGTTTTTTTACTGGCATGGAGTATTTAAATTTGGCGGTTGAGAACTCCCAATGTTATTAAGAGTGGTTTTCTAAAATCAGCCTGTATATTTCGCATCTATATTAATCCATGATATAACCTTATTAACCATTTTATAATTTTGACTATAGGCAACCAATAATACACGTGGACATTTGTACAAAATGTAACAGTTCTTTGGAGATTTGAACGGTTCAACATAGTTTGAAGTAGTAAATTATTATTGTAAAATTGGTTTATTTTGTTTTATTTGTTTTGTACTCATAATAAGAGCAGTTTCTAATCCAACGAAATTATGACGTCATGGCTAAAAATGCAACGGTTTTTAACCGATATAACGATAAAACGTTATTCCACTATCAGTCAAGAGCATCTACTAAGTTTATTAGATTAGAATTTGAAAAGACAGACCGTTTGTGGTGTCACTTAAGTCCAATTAGCAAATTTAAAACTAAACCTCTCCTATTGCAGAGAAAGATAAACAACAGTGAGAGTTCAGACGTAATAAATCCACTACCAAATATAGTCATAAAAAAGAAAACGACCTCTTTTCTCCTCCTCTTCGCGATCTAAAGTTTAAACAAACCATATGAGGCCCAAAAATATTTTAAACCCGAAAAAATCGACAAATAACGTAAACAATCAAACTCAAGTCATTAAATTACAATTAAATATACCACTCCCAAAAAAAGAAGCACGCTTAAAGCTATTTAAACACGAAAACACAACTTTTCAGTTGCATATTTAAACAGCGCGCCGAAATCCTCCACACCTGATTGGTCACCAATTTAGGTGTGGTGAAGTGGGGTACGGTATTTCGACTGATTCATCAACAATTCTAAATAGTTGGCTGTGCACAAACTGCCATTCCATCAGTATTGAGTTTTTACAAATTTAGCGTTAATTTCGACCACTGCCCGTAAGTAAACCCATTAATTCAACCCTTCACTCATTTTACAACCCATATTTTCACCCATTACACTTAACCTCATTGTTTACTTTTCACACCCCGTTTCTAGGAAATGTCGTCACGGAAGACCGTAAACCGACGCGGAACCACCAAAAAGCGGGCCCAAAGGGCCACCTCGAACGTCTTCGCCATGTTCGACCAGGCCCAAATCGCCGAGTTCAAAGAAGCCTTCAACATGATTGACCAGAACCATGACGGGTTTGTTGATAAGGAGGACCTCCATGATATGCTGGCGTCGCTGGGTGGGTTTTGACTACGTGGTGGTTGTGTTTTGAGAGATTGCTTGTAGGCAAGAACCCAACCGACGACTATCTGGACGGTATGATGAACGAGGCGCCCGGGCCCATCAATTTTACCATGTTTTTGACGCTGTTTGGGGAGCGGCTGCAAGGGACTGACCCTGAAGATGTGATTAAGAATGCTTTTGGCTGTTTTGATGAAGACAATAATGGGGTGATTAATGAAGAGAGGCTGAGGGAGCTGCTGACTTCCATGGGTGATAGGTTCACGGATGATGAAGTCGACGAGATGTACAGGGAGGCACCTATTAAAGGTGGTTTGTTTGATTATGTTGAGTTTACACGCATTTTGAAACACGGGGCCAAGGATAAGGATGAGCAATAATTTTATTTTCATTGTTATTGGTTGGCCATTTATTAAAATTTGTAAGGGTTGATATCGAGTATTTACCAACTTAGACTATAGGTACATTTTTATATGTGTATGAGGTGATAAAATTTTGCTTCCCATGTTTTCATTTTTGTACCTAGAACTGGCCGCAATTTTCAATGTTTTCCTTTTTCCCAGTTTCCAATTTTCATACGCTTCAAAGGTAAAAAGCTAACACGGATTCATAAACCACAAAAAGTACAGGAATATTGTATTTTATAAAATTTAAATAACGTGTGCTGTTGAAAATTTTGGAGATGACGTCATCGCATTTTTGGTGGGGCTGATTAAACAGATGTTTAATGCTACCATGAAAGGTTTGTCCCTACGTGTGCAAGATATCGGTTATATCATTGTTTAAGTATATTATAGTTGGACAATGAATAGGGAGAATCGTTTTCCCATGTAGAAAAGAATGAACATATATTTTACATCTCACTCGCTTCACTATGAAGTGGCGGTACCTTACGAAAGGGGGTAAAAATAGTCTGTAAGCACGTGATGTCGATAAGGTAGTAAACGGAAGTATTAGTCAGTACGTTGTACGGGGAGCAGTCACAAAATAAGCAAACGCGTGTTGAAGACTACATATATGTAATATATTTATATATAGTGCATACCTGTTTCATGTATGTGGTAGCACGTATATTTGCACAAAAACAAATAAAGGTTAAGGTAACAAAAATTTAATATTATCACGGTATATTATCCATGAACTGCAAGGCTAACAAATATGCGTCCTTTCGCCCACTTTAAAGGCACGAAATTAAACGAGCACTACTTTAATTAATAAGTAACAAGTTATCTAATTTGCCTCCAGAATAACTATGGGTTATCATCAAACTATGAGCACCAAAGTAATTCAATATGGAACATCTTCTTACGTATTTTTTTATTAACAGTAGTCAAATCATTAAATACATATTATTTTTTAAACTAAAATGCATTTTATCACAAAATATTTACCACCATTTAAATATATACGATTTAGATATCAAGAAATAAATTTAAAATTGCAAAAATTAAATGCAGCAGAGTTAAAACAGCCTTAAATGCGTCTTGTATGTACGTGCTTATCAGTATGTAGGCATTTTAACGCACAGTAATAATCGTTCTTGATGAACGACGACTACTGTAACACAGTAAATCCTCGAAATCGAAAATTTAAAACACTGAAAAATTCAAATATGGGAAAATTGTAAAATCGAGAAATCGAAACATAAAAAAATCAAAAAAATAAAAATTGGAAAATCTAAAATTTAAAAATCGAAAAAATAAAAAATTAAAGAATCGAGAAGTCGAAAATGAAAAAAATTGTAAAATTGAAAAATCGGATAAATCAAAAATCGAAATATCGAAAACTCGAGAAACTGAAAAGCAAAAAATCGAAAAACCAACAAATGGAAAAATCGAAATATCGTAAAATTCAAAAACTGAGACATCGAGAAATCGAAAAATCAAAAGACCAAAAAATCGGAGTCGAAAAATCGAAAACTTATACATGGAAATATTGATAAAGCGAGAGATTGAACATTCAAAACATAGAAACATCCGAATCTCAATAAATCGAGATCTCAAAAAATTTACAAATTCGGAAAATTGAAAAATTAAAATATAGAACTGGAAACTCGAGAAGTCGAAAAACCTAGAAATTTAAAAGTTGAAAAATTAAATATGGAAAAGTTGAAAAATTGAGAAATTGAAATATAAAACAATCGAAAAATTGAAAAATCTAAAGTATGTATAAAAAACGAAAAACTGAAAATCTAAAAATAAAAAATCGAAAAATCTAGAAGTCTAAAAATCAAAGAATCGAAATATTGAAAAATATCAAAACTGAAAGAAAGATCCAAAAATTGAGAAATCGAAAAACCAATCAAGCGAAGTCGAAAAATCGAAGAATTGAAGAATTGAAAAATCGAAACTTTGGGAAGTGGGAAAATCAAAAATAGATTAATTGAGAAATCAGAAAACTGAAAATTTAACGTCAAAACTTGAAAAATTTAAATACTGAAGAACTGAAAAGTTAAAAAATCGAGAAATGGTGAAATGGAAAAATCTAAAATTTAAAACATTGAACAATTAAAATATCGCAAAATTGAAGAATCCAGAAATCCAACTTAATTTAAAAAATTGAAAAATCGGAACATTGAAAAATTGGAAAATCCAGAGATTGAAAAGCCCAAAATTAAAAAATCGAAAAACCGAGAAATCCAAAAATCGAAAGATCGAAAAATTCAAAAACTGAGACATCGAGAAATCGAAAAATTGAGGATTGAGAAATTGATGAGTCGGAAGTTGAAAAGGAAAGTTAAAAATTGAAAAAGTGATAAATTGAGACATTGAATGATCGAAAAATTGTAAAAAAGAAAAACTGGAAAGTCGAAAATTAAAATTAGAAAATTGGAAAAATTGAAATATCGAAGAATTGAAAAGGCGAGATATCGAAAAACCTAGAATTTTAAAAAATGAAATATGAAAACATCATAAAGTTGAAAAATTGAGAAATCGAAGTATAAAACAGTCGAAGAATTGAAAAATCTAAAGTTTAACAATAAATTAAAAATCCAAAAAGTAAAAAATCGAGAGAAAAAAATCCATCAATTCAAAAATCGAAAAGTCGGAAAATCAAAATATTGAAAAATCTCATAACTGAAAGAAATATTCAAAAGTTGAGAAATTAAAAAATTGGAAAATTGAGAAATCAAAAATCTAAAATAGCAAAGTCGAAAAATCGTAAGGTTAAAAAGTCGAAAAATTGAAGAATTGAAGAAGTGAAAAATCGAAACTTTAGGAAGTCCAGAAATCGAAAAATAAAAAAAAAAATTACTTTAGAAATCGGTAAACTGAAAATTTAGAAACGTGAAAATTTGAAAAATTGAAAAATCGAAATATTTAAAAACCGTAAAATTGAAGAGGACAAAAATTGAGAAATCGTATCATTGAAACATCGAAAAATTGGGAAATCGAAAAATAAAAAAATCGAGAAACGGAAAATTTGAAGAATGGAAAAATTGGAAAAGCCCAAAATTGAAATATTGAAAAATTGAGACATTTAAAGTTGAAAAATCGAGAATCGAAAAGCCGAAAAATCTCAATAGCGTATTTATAAATCACACGATCAGGACTATGGTACTTTTTAAAATTTAAATATATATGCTATTTAACATTATAAATTGGAAAATGTTGATTTTTTTTCCAAAGATCTTGACGTCTAGGGTGAAAACTCAACATGGATGCATAAACCGTAAACGGAGGATATACAATTGTAAAATTTGGAGATTGCGTCATTTCATTGTTGGTGACAAATTTTGGTGAGTGTTTTACCATTTGATAACACAATTTGAAATGTAAATTTTGTAATTCGGGAACATTATGTATTAAATCGTTAAGATGTTCAAGAACTTTGTTCACTTATTCGTTGTAAAGTCCAATGGTCGAAACGGGTTAGTTCTTCGTAGTGGATGTGCATCAGATCAAATCTTAGGAATATCGGCTTATAGATAAATCGCTTAGAGCCGATATTGGCCTGAGTGTGCTTTGGTCTGTAGATCAAACAAGTTCCCAGGCGACGAAAAATTGCATGTGGAGGGAGACTTCGGATTACAGATCGTGCCAAGAAAGTAATAAACTTACATCGGTGTAAAATGTTTAGGAGAGATGGATTTTCAGGTGTGGGACTAGCAGTAATTTTAATTTGTTTGCTGTTGTTCGTGAAGTGAAGAACACAATTTCATTAAAATGATAATTATAAAAATATCATAAATTCTGAAGTTTATAAACTGCACATTTTATTTATTTATTTATTTTATCTTGTTTTCGAAATATAATAAACATTTCAAACAATGTCTGTAACTTATTTTAATGTAAATTATATTCATGTGGTTGACAAAATCAGATGTAATATTAGCGTGATTTTGATCTTATTCTAGATTTTATTACAGCAGAACGGCGCATCCTTTTTAAATTTTAGAAGTTACGGAAACTAGTTCAAGAAACAATTAGGAGTAGTTATCTCGTATTTTTGGAACAAAATGTACCAAAACGTCGGATAACATCAATTGTTTTTCATAGAAACCAACAGTCTTCAAAGAAGCCTTTAACAACTCGATATTACAAACATGCTTCTTAAATTCTTAATGTGTTTTTTTTTCTGTCTTGTAATTATTTGTAATGTCAACGCCGAAAGTTTGTCATTCTGCTATTTATTTTGAATATATATTTTCATTTTGTCTTAATATTTTTGTAACACCACGAATCTAAATTTTACTAAATCTTGTAAAACTAAACAATTATACCAGTTTAAAAACCCTTGGAAAGTTTCTGTCAGTTTTCAGATATAGTCAAATAAAAATAGGCGTCAAATTCATTTAAATACAATTCTTTCGTATCAACGTTACAACGCGTTGCTTCATATTTATTATGTCAAGTATATTTTCATATTTTGTATATATATGTCTATACGCATTACTGTTTACGGAACAATGTTAATTATGGATTTATGGATAACTCCTCGTATAAGAGCAGAGCGAAAGGTGTTTGCTTTTGCTAATCTTTGATGGCGCCATCTGATGTAGAGTAAAATAAACCTAATTGCGCCCCCTGGATTGATTCCTTGTCCCAAAGCTCCCTATTCAGGCGAAGTAAAATTTGTATTAGGTTGTCCAACTATAAGATACTTAAACAATGGTTATATGCAACATTTTGCACAGAGTTTTGTAAAATAATTGTGATTCAAAGTCAAGGCGGATTAATAAATCACAAATATAGGAATATATTTTTTATAAAATTTCTAAACATTTAATGTACAAAATTTTGAGAGCACGTCATCAAATTATTAATCATATAAAATTTGATTTCTTTCAAGCCGAAACTTGACGTAGCAAAAGTCTAAAAAAAACTCAACTTTTCTTCAACCTTAGTTTCCCCTAAGGCGTATTTTGAATTTCCGAAAGATGCCTACAATTCTAACAATTGAGTAGCCAGCGCCCTCTGGCCGCTGGTAGCCCAAGTTCACGCCAGTCGCGTCCTTTTCCCGCCGGTTCGCGCTCCCACTCCCCCCTCATTATTCATTTGTTTACATAGTTTAATAAACACATGTTCTACTGTCAAACTCCACGTGCTCCTTGTGTACACAGCATTTTACGAAAAAATTAGCGCTGAGATAAACGCCGGCGCCTCCTCGTCCAGCCGCCGCCCGAAAAAGCGGCGTCTTTTTGAACGGAATCAACAAGTGGCGGGCGCCGCGACGGCAGCGCCGCTATTTACGACGTTGGCCGCGCCACGACGCGTCCCTCCACCATCAATCCACCTGTTTTCTTAGCACACCTACCAACAAACGTCCTCACAATGAAAGTTTTGATTTCTGTTTAGTTTTTGTGTTTCTCGATGTTGTTTATGTTGCTGTGTGTTGGCGTGCTTCTTTATTTTCTTTTTTCGAGGTGAGATTTTTATTTTATTTTTGAATTTAAGTTGACGTTTTGTTTGTTGTTTGGGGTCATGAGACGCCCAAGACGCCCGTCTTGCGATGGCGGAGCGGGCGAGGGGGGCCCGGATGGGGGGTCGTGGGGTCGCCGGGGGGCGGCTGGGCGCGCGGGGGCGGCGCTGCGGCCGGGGTTCGGGCGGGATGGGGGTGGCCGCGGAAAAGTGAGGTTAGGTGGGTTTGTGGTGTTTGTTTTGGGCCTGAGCACCCCCGGCGTGACGTCAGGGTGATGTCATGAGGAGATTATCAGTTTATCGGTGAATCGAGACGATCTCGACTTGGGATTGTTGTGGGGTGATTAAATTAATTGGTTTTTAGTGACATGATATGATAAAAAGCGACCGGAACTAGAATTAATTGAAAAACTTAAAATATACCGACCCTTTTAACGTCGTTTTTAAAATTTTTAAATTAAATGGCGTTTCAAAAGTACAACCCCCATTAACGTCCAAATTAAAACTGTAGTAAAATATATTTCGTTTGTTTTTTTTTTTTTTTTTAACAAACTAAAACTACGGATAGAAGTTGAATTCGTACCGTCATTTTATGCTGATTTATTAAATTCCTAAAGTACAAAATATCGCTAATTAAATTAAGTCACGCTATATTCTCTATTTAAAATTTAAACTTTTTTCGCTTGTCGCACTAGCGTTTTCTACTTACTGCAACAACCCACTCAAAACATTCCTCTCAGGTTTCGCCACGCGGCAACAGGTGGCGCCACAATTACCATTTTGCGTACGGTATCAAACCGAATTCACGAAATTAGAAACACGGTTCCCAGGATTCCTTCGAATTGTGAAATTAAAGCTGAAATTTATTTATTTGTTTTGTTGAGTCGCCTTACAAGTAGGTGCAGCCTATACTCATCACTCATATAAATAGAGGCGTTTGTTATTGTTATTATTATTCTTAAGACACCCGGTCAAGGAAGTTAAAATTAGAAACTCTTTGAAGAAAAGCTCATTTATTTGAGAGTATTGAAGATGGTTTACTTTGCTTAATATCTTCTACATCCTGATGTTATAATGAGTGCTAAATTTAATCGTTTCTGGTTTTTTGTTGTGAATTATGGTCGATGGAATGCGCTCGGTGTAGTTTGCCGGAGTTAGGATACACGGAAGGGTGAAGAATTTTAAAAAATATTATTAGAGGTGTGTGAAACTATGTCAATTGATTTTAATAATTTAATTTTTTAATAATCGAATTTTCTATTTTTACATACTAATTTTCCATTTCTCTCAATAAGACCATTGTGAAAATTGTAAAATGCTTATCAAAGTTCGTAAAGCTAACAAAATGTTGGCATTCTATCAAAATAAAAAATTTCAAATTAATATCAGTCTAAAGTTAGCACCATTATTTAATTTTTTCTAGTTCTCTGCCGCACAATGGCTTTGGATTTTTTTAAATAATTGTCCAAAGTAGAATACATTTTTCTTTGTATGTAAATGTATGTTTGTATTCTGATTTTTACTATTATTCTTGACTATATCAAAAATTATTTTTTTTTTAATGGAATAATTTATCATAATTAGTCCAAAACCAAAATTTGGAAAATCGGAAACCTAGATTTCTTGAAACACTAAATTTCTTCCTTATAAAATTGATTTTAGAAATTGAAAAATATTAAATTCACCTTCTAAAAGATACATGTAGCTAAATATTTATTTCATAAAAAAATTTAAATTTGTTTACGAGATTGAAAAAAAATCGTCTGCTTTTCTGAAAAATTCTATAATTCCGTTTTGCGATACTTACTTTTTTTGTGATAACTTCTATAAAGTAAAAACAATATACATAAGTGTAGGAATATATGATTGTATAATATTTAAATAATTTTAATATAGAAACTTTTGAGACGACGTCGTCAAATTTTTGGTGCAGACGACTAGCCAAATTTTGATTAGCGTTTTAACAATTTTTTCGTAATCATGGGGTCATGAAACGCTAGGAAACATGAAAGTAGCCGATTGCGAAGTTAAGCTGTAAAAAAATTCATTCAGTTAAAATTTCTTAAAATTTTTCTACAGCGCTTTAAACACCTGTATTTCACCAGCAAGGTTGACATCTTCAGACTAAAATCTGAATAGTTTTACACATTTTAAAAGCGTTTTAGAAAAACAAGCAAACATTCTGAGCCTGTATAAATATTTCTTAAAATAAAGCTTTTTTTTCTGAAATACAAGCAGGGTTGGCTCGATTTAAGTCATTTGATTTAAATTGTGTTTTGAATCCCAGATTGAATCGTGATTTTTTAAATTTTTTTCAAAAAAATCACTGATTGAATTGACACTTTCATATTCTTTAATATCATATTTTCCGCCTCTTTTGTAATTTTTTTTTTATTGCCGTTTTTGTCCGTTGATTTTTTATTGCATTTTTTGTCCATTTCTATCGCCCCTTTTTGTACCCTTTTTTGCCTTTTATTATCCTTTGTTTCACCGTTTTTCTATTTTGTTGTTTTTTTCCTTTTTCTGTACTTTTTTGTCTGTTTCTTGTCGTTTTTTTCACCTCCTTTTTGTTACACTTTCTTCGTTGCTTTTTTGTCTCTTTTTTTTTCTCTTTTTTTGTGTTCTCAATTTCTTGTTTTATTTAGACTTTTTAGTATCACTTGGACATTTTTTGTCGATTTTTTCTTTTTTCCACTCGCGAATTGCCACTTTCATATTCTTTAATATCATATTTTCCGCCTCTTTTGTAATTTCTTTTGTTTATTGCCGTTTTTGTCCGCTGATTTTTTATTGCGTTTTTTGTCCATTTCTATCGCCCCTTTTTGTAGCCTTTTTTGCCTTTTATTATCCTTTGTTTCACCGTTTTGCTATTTTATTGTTTTTTTCCTTTTACTGTACTTTTTGTCTTTTTCCTGTCGTTTTTTCAACCTCTTTTAAATTGTTACATTTTCTTTGTTGCTTTTTTGTCTCTTGTTTTTCCTCTTTTTTGTGTTCTCAATTTCTTGTTTTATTTAGACTTTTTAGTATCACTTGGACATTTTTTCTTTTTTCCATCCGGCGAATTGCCAGTTTCATATTCTTTAATATCATATTTTCTGCCTCTTTTGTTTATTGCCGTTTTTGTCCGTTGATTTTTTATTGCGTTTTTTGTCCATTTTTATCGCCTGTTTTTGTAGCCTTTTTTGCCTTTTATTATCTTTTGTTCCACCTTTTTGCTATTTTTTTGTTTTTTTCCTGTTACTGTACTTTCTTGTTTTTTTCACCTTCTTTTTGTTACCTTTTCTTTGTTGCTCTTTTGTCCCTTTTTTTCTCTTTTTTTTGTGTTCTCAATTTCTTGTTTCATTTCGACTTTTTAGTATCACTTGGACATTTTTTGTCTATTTTTTTGTTCCCCTATTTTATATCGCTTTATTTTGTCGTCTTTTTTTATCGCCTGTTTTTTGCTGCCTTTTTAATAGCCTTGTTTTTTGGCGCACTATTTTTTGTCGTTTTTTTTTTGCGACGCGTCATCTAGTTGCCTTTTTTGGTCTTTTTTGCTGCATTTTCTGGGAAATCGCTTTTGCTTTGTTTTTAAAGTGGTTTTGAAAGAATCTTCGGGCTCCTGAGGTTTGTTTTTGAAGAAGTTTTAAAAAATCTCGGGGCTCCTTATGTCGTGTTTTTGAAGTACTTACGTTGAAAGAATTTTTGGACCCATTGTGTTTTATTTTTGAAGTAATTTGAAAGAATCCCCGGGCTCCTTTTGTTTTGTTTTTGAGGTACATAGTTTAAAAAAATCTCGGGAATCCCTTGTCTTGTTTTTGAAGTAAGTTGAAAGAATTTCCGGACCCCTTGTGTTTTATTTTTGAAGTAATTTGAAAGAATCTCGGGTATCCCTTTTGTTTTTGAAGTAGTTTTGAAAGAATCCCCGGGCTCCTTTTGTTTTGTTTTTGACGTAGTTTAAAAGAATCTCGGGAATCCCTTGTCTTGTTTTTGAAGTAATTTGAAAGAATCTCGGGGCTTTTTGTGTTTTGTTTTTGAAGTAATTTGGAAGAATCTAGGGAATCGCTTTCGTTTTGTTTTTAAAGTAGTTTTGAAAGAATCTCCGGGCTCCTTGAGGTTTGTTTTTGAAGAAGTTTTAAAGAATCTCGGGGCTCCTTAAGTCGTGTTTTTGAAGCAGGGTGAAAGAATCTCCGGACCCCTTGTGTTTTGTCTTTGAAGTAATTTGAAAGAATCTCGGGACTCCTATTTTTGTTTTGTTTTGTTTTTAAAGTAGTTTTGAAAGAATCTTCGGGCTCCTTGTAGTTTATTTTTGAAGAAGTTTTAAAGAATCTCGAGGATCCCTTTTGTTTTGTTTTTAAAGTAATTTGAAAGAATGTAGGGGTTCTTTCAGTTGATTGTTTTTGAATCAATTTATTAGAATCTCGAGGATTCCTTATATTTTGATTTTGAAGTAATTTGAAAGAATCTCGGGGATCCTTTCTGTTTTGGTTTTTGAAGTAGTTGTGAAAGAATCCCCGGCCTTTTTGTGGTTTGTTTTTGAAGAGGTTTTAAAGAATCTCGGGGCTCCTTGTGTCGTGTTTTTGAAGTAGGGTGAAAGAATCTCGGGGATCCTTTGAAAGAATCCCCGGGCTCTTTCTGTTTTGTTTTTGGAGTAGTTTAAAAGAATCTCGGGAATCTCTTGTTTTGTTTTTGAAGTAAGTTGAAAGAATCTCGAGGCTCTTTGTGTTTTGTTTATGAAGTAATTTGAAAGAATCTCGGGAATCGCTTTCGTTTTGTTTTTAAAGTAGTTTTGAAAGAATCTCCGGGCTCCTTGAGTTTTGTTTTTGAAGAAGTTTTAAAGAATCTCGGGGCTCCTTATGTCGTGTTTTTGAAGCAGGGTGAAAGAATCTCCGGACCCCTTGTGTTTTGTTTTTGAAGTAATTTGAAAGAATCTCGGGGCTTCTATTTTTGTTTTGTTTTTAAAGTAGTTTTGAAAGAATCTCCAGGCTCCTTGTAGTTTATTTTTGAAGAAGTTTTAAAGAATCTC